TCATTTGTATCGTGTCAGCTTGCGACATACCTTCCAGGCTTCGGTTTTGACATCATGAGCTCTTCCTCCGCACTACCCATTGATCTGTTTTATTTCTTCGAAGAAACAACGACTATGGAAGCCTGTTTTTCCGCATTTGATAAAAATAAGTGAGTATTTTCAGAAGTCCTGCTTTTTTTTTTAAAAAAGAATTTTTCGTTTCTTGAATCGGCTTACAAAAGCACATTTTCTTTGCGCGAATTTTCACGTTCAAAATTAGTCGCTCACGTCGAAGGGTGTCGTTCACATAAATTTCCTCGAATGACATTGCGACAGTTCACGAGATTCCATGTTTATAAACATTTCTTTAAACCACATATCCGTTACCAGTATCTGCTCCTTATCTTGTAGTTTTTGATTAATTTTTCACACATCGTTGTAACTAGCGGTAAAATACACCATGGTTCGACTGATAACCAATCTAAACAAATCAGTGTAACAAATAAGAAAAAGCTATTTTAATTATTAATACATGTTTTAATATTGTTAGTTTTTTTTTTCAAATATAATTGTAAATACGTGAATGCTTGTTATTAAAATGTTTTTAGTAGAAGTCTGGCGAGATGTACATATATGCGCATATTTGGAAAAGGTAATAAAGCAGAATTCGGGGAAGTACCTAATTGTAATTTGGAATACATATATTTGCTGTATAAATAATAGAGAACGGTAGCTAGAAGTTGCATTAATGAGAAAATATTTTCGTCGTGTGCTCTGAACTGATTGTACAATTACAGATATTTAGAAGCACAAAACAAAATTATTAGCGCCGCGTTTGAATTACCCCAGAGGCTTTTAGTTTGCCTGGATGGCTGTTTTTAAAAGTTAATTTGATTTCAAGGTTGTTATTGCGTTATTGGGATGTTCTGGTTATGTGCATAATTATTGCATTATCAATTTCGACGTAATAGGTTGCAAAAGTGATTCCCTGGCGTCCGTTGCATTGTTAACAACTAGTAAATGAAGTTGTGATGAACTTGAAATAGCTTTTTAGTGACATAGAGGTAAAGGTCAGAGGTTTCACGTAATACGCAGTATTTGATCGTACAATATTGCATTTACGATGAATATTGAAGTTCACCTTGCCATTGAATTGGTGCACTTCAATATGCTTTCGTCTTTATTGTATTGTAAATAGATTATGTAAGGTAGAGTCCGGCCGAGATTTATGGTGAAATGATATTAAATTTTAAACTAATCAGTTGTTAAAACCTTTTCATTGACAACGGAAAAAACTTTTAACGGAGTTAAAATTTTAATGATCTTGCTTTTTAAAAGGGATACTTAATTTACCATACGTAATAATAAATTTTTACACTAAACTTCACGGCATTGCTCAATGATTTGAAAAATTAATTTTTATGCCGTGCGGATCAAAAGTTGTCAAAGTTTATTCCGCGTTATTACAGGTATAATCCAGGCAAATTAGACTTTTGCATGGAAAATTTTGGATTGGACCTGATTTCTGCGTGTAAATTAGTAAAAAATGATGGACTTCATTGTGTGAAGAATTTCGTTTATAAATAATTTAAGGTCATTTTTTTTATGTTTTTTGTTTTTTTCTATAACTTTCCTTCTAATGATTTAATCGAAAAAAATTTAATCCCAACTGAATAAATAGATGAGCAACAATTTGTTAATAAAAGTTAATTTACTATTTAAAAATTAGTAGTTTCCTAATGCTACCAAATATTAATTATTGATCCGTTATGATCTGTGCTCACAAAGAATATGTAGGAAGTTTTTTTAAGTACTTTTATGATATCCAATCATTAAAATTATATTTTTTCATTATTTAACGTTGTTTTTGGCTTCTTATGTGAAGTAGACTTTTAGGTAAGATTCTTTTATTGGTCTTAATGTATAATGAGATTATAAAAATGTATTAAAAAGGGTTCTTTTCCAAAATGGAGGTAGTCGGATTCCTATGTTAAAAGTGGACACGAAAGAAATCGCTTTATCTCGATAAATCTTCATTTATTGAAGAAACTTTAACACTGAAAAATCGGACCCCTTTACTCTTATCGGAAAAGTGGTTCTAAACAACATTCTCATTTAACTTATTTGATTAAATCATACAAATTATGTTATAGAAGTAAAACGAAAAAACATCAAAATACGACCTTAAATTATTTAAGAACAAAATTCCTCACACTTGAGTATACGTGCAAGTTTATTAATGATGTTACGTAATCTGTTACTAATTTACATGTAAAAATCAGGTCTAGTCCAAACTTTTCCGAAAAAATGACATTTTTTTATTTAATTTAATTCGCCTGGACTAGCAGCTTAGAACCTCGGATACCGTCGGAAAGCGCCGCAGTTTCGGATTTTTAATTCAAAAATAAAAATATAAGATATTAATTCATTAGAGTATTATGGTTAATTAATCGATTACAGCTATACAAAAGTTATAAAAAAAATATAAATATATAACAGCAATTCAATACTTCAAAAATGTTAAGTAATATTCTAATATTTGCAAACACAACTTGTTTTTCCTAAAACATGTAAAATACTAACTGTGTAATATATATACAACAAAACTAAGAGGTAAAATTTCTTACAAACGTTACAAAATTCGTCACTCTCTTGAAACTAAAAATTTCTCAGCACCTGGACCAGCTTCCGTGAGGTACTTTGCGGAATTACTTACGGGATACATCGTTAGATCGAAATCATCAACCATAAGTATTTTATCCCCAACCATTATACTTCCCTTATTGTACTTATCTATGACATTCGTTACAAATAGTCCCTGCAAATAAAAGTAATTAATATAATTGAAAACAAAAATTTGAATTGTTTATGTAGATTGTATTTTGTTAATGAAAAACGAACAGTTACCTCATTACTAGCTGCATATTCAAATCCAAGATGTTGTGTTGGAGTAACTGGACATTCCAAAATTCTTTTATTACGATGTTTACCAAATATCCAACCCTGTAATTGATTATTTTTATCTGAGTATTCAGTGGCACTTTTATAACTTTTATTATCGTTCCAAACAGTTTCAGAACCAAGTTTCGAATTCAAATTTTCCTTTTCTGTTGCCTCATTGCAAATATTTTCGTTTAATTGGTCTAAGTTTGATTTATTTATTTGGGAACCTTCGTTATTAAGATTAGACTCGGGAAAAGATAAGTTGTCTATTCTGGAATTACCCTCATCTTGTGTTAACCGTAGAGGATGTTGTGGCTGGGGCATAATAATATTTGAAGGCTGATCTTGAGTGAAATGCTTTGGTTTTTCTTCTATTGTTTGGTGTTTTACAATGGCACCTGGGAATTGCTTAGCAATATCGTTAAAGAAATGAGCGTTTTTTGAATATGCTGCGGCAATGTGGTAAGGAGGAGGCTTTATTTCTTTTCTTAAGCTGTAATCAGCTATCTGGAAAGGGGGCTCGGGAAGACGATTTTCACATTTCGGCGTATTTGTAGGCGTTTCGTGACCGTATATTTGCAAAGGACGATTAATAGAGCTAATATTTTCATATGAGAGCTTGTCATCGTGATACGTTTTACTTGAAGATTGCTCCACAACTTTTTCTGTATTATAAACAGTAGCGCTGTTTGAAAAATTTTGATTCTGATCAGTTTGGGATGTACTAATGTTGATTAACTGGTCCTTTGGAGGAGAAGACTTCAGTTCAGGTATATGTACATTTCTTTTAGTGTTGTAGTTAGTAAGATTTGATTCATCTGCGAACATTACCCTCGAATTTTCGTAGCAATTATGATTATCACAATCATCTTTTTCAGATGCCCTGTTGTTCGATGATTGTTCGTCATTATTTATTGCTATTTCTATACTTGGGGTATCGTTTTTATTAACTTTGTCTTCGATTCCCGAGTCTTCTACGTCAGTATTCCTTCCATATTTGTAATAGTTATCATTGAACATTTTTTTGGAGTAAATTTGTTCAGAGTTATTACTTTCTGGTGGTGATACAATCAAATTATATTGATTATCCTCATCTGATACTTTAGCTGACGCAACTACAGCCTCTTTAACAACAGGAGCGTTCAAGTCCCGTAAATTTGTATGGTCTACGTCTTTCTGTTTTTTTAAAATGTTTGCTACAGATTTGCGGTAACGCTGATAGTCTTTAGGGTACGGTGTAGGAGCACGGGTCAAATGCGGGGCAAATTCCTTTTGTACTCCTGGTTCTGTGAAACATATTTTTCTTCTGTTTGGAGAAGGATATACTAACTGAGTATTGTGCACAGGGGATGCCACAGCTTGTGGTAGAAATATGCAAGTAAGAACCATTTGTCCATTGTCCATCCTTTCTTTTTGTAATGATATCTATAATAATAATTATACATTTGAATATCTGAGTTCCAGAAAATTGAAAATAAAAGTTTTGAAGTTTTGAGAAAACTTACCAATGGTTGATTTTGATTTTGTGACAACCAAAGGGCTCTCAATTTGCTTAATTTCAACACAGTTATTGGTAAAAACTGCAACTGATTATTAACTAAGCTAACAGAAACTAGATTTTGTATATGCCCTATCTCTTGTGGCAATTGCACTATAAAATTAACGTCTAAATTCAAAATTCGTAAGCCTGAGCAGCTGCCAATTTCTAAAAATCAAATAAGTGAAATTGTACTGTTTTTGGTTTAATATAATTATTGTATTTCATACCTGGAGGTAAATATGTAATATAATTATTGGAAGCTATGAGGCAGTTCAATTTCCTAAGCATACCAATAGAACTTGGTAAAGATTTAAGATTATTGAACCTGACATCCAAATCTTCCAGATTTTTTAAATTTCCAATATTTTCAGGAAGACTTTGGAGATAATTATGATCCAATTTTAATGTTTCTAATTGCCTCAATTTACAAATCTCTGGTGGAATTTCTTTTAAAAGATTTTCACTTAAAGCAAGATATGTGATGTTTGACCAAAAGCATATTTCCTTTGGTATACTTTCAATTTCGTTATTTGAGCCATCAAAATACATCAACTTTCTTAAGTTGCCCACATCTGGTTGTAATACTTTCATACAGTTACCATTTACCCACAGTTCAGTCAAACTTGTTAAGGTGTGAATGACTTCAGGCTGAAATTAATTTAATTAATGAAATAAGCAGTTAAACAAAATTCTCTCAAGTACTAACCAACTCACAGAAATCATTATTACTTAGATCAAGTCTTTGTAGACTGGTCAGTCTCTTTAATGATTTTGGTAACATAGACAACATGTTATCTCGTAGCTCTAAAATGTGCAGATTATTCAGTCTTCCAATAGTTGCAGGGAAAAAGTCAATAGATGTGTCATTTAAGAAAAGCTTTTGCAGACTGACAAGACACGTAAGACATTCAGGAATTTTCTCTAAATTATTTGAACTTAAATCCAACACAGTTAATTTTTGACACCTATGGATGTTTGCTGGTATACTTATGTGCTTTAGATCTGCAAAACAATAACTGTAAATACAATTTTAAACTGTTTTACATTAAGATTACAATTTCTGCTAAGGTCTAGATGTTGTAAATTGCTAAGTTTAACGATTAATGGTGGGATAACATGTATTTCATTATCACTAAGGTTGAGGTAACGTAATTCCTCACACTGAAAGAGGGTGCGTGGCAAATCACAGATCTGAAAAAGTTTATATTTAAGGTACTTGTTGGTACAAAACAGCAATTAATGTTCATTTACAAAAGTTAATGGAACTTACCTTATTCCCATCAAGGTATAAGCAATCCAATGTACGTTCAAAGTTAAATACTGCTGCAGGGACTTCAGTTAAAGCTGATCTACTGTAATCCAACACTTTAACATCATCAAATTCAGGATTTTTTCGAGACAGACAATTAAGCCAACTCATATTGTTTTCCTACTACATAACCTTAGACTAAGCTTAAAAATTTTTGTTCAGTATTTAAACTTAGAATTCATTACACAGTAATTTTAGCAAATCAGTATCACTTCCCGCAGTTTTATATGAAATTAAGTTATTCTTGGATGGCATTTAAAAATATCTAAATTAGGTACAAGCTGCAGAACACACTAGTTTAGGTATTAAGGCACTGATATATTTCCCACTTTAAAAAGATGTACTATTCTTGGATTAATGTAATTACCACATTACCAATTGCACTGTGTCGATGTGATTTAAAATGCTCGACAAACTACAATTACTAGAGATATTTTACGTTTTTGTTGCCTTATTATTATAAAATTATTATTTGCGTTACTGGTTGTATACTCTTCCATCAAATTTGTTTCAAATTTCTGAAAATGGGTATTATAAAAATAGGAAGATATAATTAATCTTTAAAACTAATTTCTGGTTTCTTGTTAAATATAAATATTGTAATTATTTCTTTACTTTACTTTTTTTACTTTTTATTGTTTTTATTCAGTTGAGCTGCAAAATTTTGCAGAAACATGTTGAATGGGTTGCCTAAGCGTGGTAATAATTGCATTCTTTTTTATATTATTTATTTTTTTTCTCTNGTTGATGTAAATTCATCGTGGTATTTGTAAGTTTGCAATAAGTGTGTGCGTGCAAGGGGTGGCAGATAATCAGGAAGGTGGCACCTCTAATTTGAGAAACGGCACCCCAGGCCTGTAAGGAGAGGTAAACATTGCACTGTTAAACCCCTTGAGTGGCCCCCTCTACCCTATTCATTTGTATCGTGTCAGCTTGCGACATACCTTCCAGGCTTCGGTTTTGACATCATGAGCTCTTCCTCCGCACTACCCATTGATCTGTTTTATTTCTTCGAAGAAACAACGACTATGGAAGCCTGTTTTTCCGCATTTGATAAAAATAAGTGAGTATTTTCAGAAGTCCTGCTTTTTTTTTTAAAAAAGAATTTTTCGTTTCTTGAATCGGCTTACAAAAGCACATTTTCTTTGCGCGAATTTTCACGTTCAAAATTAGTCGCTCACGTCGAAGGGTGTCGTTCACATAAATTTCCTCGAATGACATTGCGACAGTTCACGAGATTCCATGTTTATAAACATTTCTTTAAACCACATATCCGTTACCAGTATCTGCTCCTTATCTTGTAGTTTTTGATTAATTTTTCACACATCGTTGTAACTAGCGGTAAAATACACCATGGTTCGACTGATAACCAATCTAAACAAATCAGTGTAACAAATAAGAAAAAGCTATTTTAATTATTAATACATGTTTTAATATTGTTAGTTTTTTTTTTCAAATATAATTGTAAATACGTGAATGCTTGTTATTAAAATGTTTTTAGTAGAAGTCTGGCGAGATGTACATATATGCGCATATTTGGAAAAGGTAATAAAGCAGAATTCGGGGAAGTACCTAATTGTAATTTGGAATACATATATTTGCTGTATAAATAATAGAGAACGGTAGCTAGAAGTTGCATTAATGAGAAAATATTTTCGTCGTGTGCTCTGAACTGATTGTACAATTACAGATATTTAGAAGCACAAAACAAAATTATTAGCGCCGCGTTTGAATTACCCCAGAGGCTTTTAGTTTGCCTGGATGGCTGTTTTTAAAAGTTAATTTGATTTCAAGGTTGTTATTGCGTTATTGGGATGTTCTGGTTATGTGCATAATTATTGCATTATCAATTTCGACGTAATAGGTTGCAAAAGTGATTCCCTGGCGTCCGTTGCATTGTTAACAACTAGTAAATGAAGTTGTGATGAACTTGAAATAGCTTTTTAGTGACATAGAGGTAAAGGTCAGAGGTTTCACGTAATACGCAGTATTTGATCGTACAATATTGCATTTACGATGAATATTGAAGTTCACCTTGCCATTGAATTGGTGCACTTCAATATGCTTTCGTCTTTATTGTATTGTAAATAGATTATGTAAGGTAGAGTCCGGCCGAGATTTATGGTGAAATGATATTAAATTTTAAACTAATCAGTTGTTAAAACCTTTTCATTGACAACGGAAAAAACTTTTAACGGAGTTAAAATTTTAATGATCTTGCTTTTTAAAAGGGATACTTAATTTACCATACGTAATAATAAATTTTTACACTAAACTTCACGGCATTGCTCAATGATTTGAAAAATTAATTTTTATGCCGTGCGGATCAAAAGTTGTCAAAGTTTATTCCGCGTTATTACAGGTATAATCCAGGCAAATTAGACTTTTGCATGGAAAATTTTGGATTGGACCTGATTTCTGCGTGTAAATTAGTAAAAAATGATGGACTTCATTGTGTGAAGAATTTCGTTTATAAATAATTTAAGGTCATTTTTTTTATGTTTTTTGTTTTTTTCTTAAATAACGTAGTTTCACTACTAGGACTCCTTCGTNTATATCTTAACATTACAATATAGAATAAATACGTCTTAACATACTAAATGGCAATTTACATGATTTTTTATCAACTGCTTGTTATTACATTGTGAATCTAAACAAAAAATTTTGAATTAAAGTATTTTAAAATTCGAATAACAAAGAAAACATAACCTGTAAAGTTACCTAATACATGTGTATCAACAGACACCACATGTAAGTAAAAGGGTAATTTACCTTAAGGTAATTAATATTAATGCTAGAGCATCATTATTTACACAATGTTCATCTCATTGTGTTGCAACTTAAGTGTTATCTATTCACCTATTTTTTTTAACAGCAATCCATAGAACTGCACATGTAACAAAATATGGAACAACTTACATTAATACAATAATTATAACATCATTAATATTTCATTTATTAAATTATTAGGAAAAATTAAATAAAAATTTTAAATAAATGTTGGGTTTTTGTTAGAAGAGTACTACGTTTTAGCTAACTTGCTACTTACTATTATCATTCTATTTCGTGTTATTTCGCATAGATGCCCCTCTATGTCTTCTGTAATTATTTTTTTTTGATGGGTTTGAATTTAAATAAGCGCATAGGAACGTGAACGTTTTGAATGGCATTCTTCAGATATCATACTTCCTTGTGAACAAATTTTTGCTATTATTAAGGCTGGTGACACATTGAAAATTTGGTACCACATAGGGAGTTTCTTATCTTTTATCTTTTATGACTAAATGCGTGATACAATACAAAGTTCCATGTGTGCAGAATTATTGTGAAAAACTGAATACTTTTCCGTTAAACTAATGATGTGGAACTAATTTCAACTAACTGAATTACATTGACACGCCAAATAACTTTGTTGAATAGCCTTTTATGTACATAGATAAAAAAACATTGTATTTATTTTGTGTTAGTTTACATTTGATTTCAAAATAAATAACGTAGTTTCACTACTAGGACTCCTTCGTGATTGTCATAATGTTAAAAATCACATTTATTTATTGTTTTATATTTCTGTGTGTGGAAATGAATACTAGGTAAAATTATTTTATGAATTATTAATTGTAGTGCTAATGACAAGTGTTTTTTTTTAATTACTTTTCAAGAGCATTCAGTTCTTGGTATTTAGTCTTCTTTTTTTTTTATTTATAATACTTTTTTATGTATATTGTCCTCCTGTTTAGCACCACTTTATATTATTTGTTACTATTGTTTGAAGTTTCGAATTACATCACACATGTGCTTCTCCTTTCTTTGATTTTTTGAAACGTCATAAGAAGGGATTGAATTTTTTGTTAAAAATACCGTGGTTGCGATTCACCCTTCACCTTTGGGAAATGTGTTTCAATAGTTGCTTTATACTTGTACTTACTTACTATAGAATGCCACATGTAAGAGCGCTGCCCAATTTTTTAGTAATTAAAATATATGCTATTTGCGTTAGGATTTTATTGGCAATTGTTTAAAAAGTTAGTAGGTTGTGTAATGTTGAAAATCTGCATTTGCAGCATTTCCGGAGAGTCGTCAATTTGTTTGCGTGAAAGAAGTTGAGCGGTAGCGGGTATTTCCCGAAATAATTACATAATTACGTGTTGATGTAAATTCATCGTGGTATTTGTAAGTTTGCAATAAGTGTGTGCGTGCAAGGGGTGGCAGATAATCAGGAAGGTGGCACCTCTAATTTGAGAAACGGCACCCCAGGCCTGTAAGGAGAGGTAAACATTGCACTGTTAAACCCCTTGAGTGGCCCCCTCTACCCTATTCATTTGTATCGTGTCAGCTTGCGACATACCTTCCAGGCTTCGGTTTTGACATCATGAGCTCTTCCTCCGCACTACCCATTGATCTGTTTTATTTCTTCGAAGAAACAACGACTATGGAAGCCTGTTTTTCCGCATTTGATAAAAATAAGTGAGTATTTTCAGAAGTCCTGCTTTTTTTTTTAAAAAAGAATTTTTCGTTTCTTGAATCGGCTTACAAAAGCACATTTTCTTTGCGCGAATTTTCACGTTCAAAATTAGTCGCTCACGTCGAAGGGTGTCGTTCACATAAATTTCCTCGAATGACATTGCGACAGTTCACGAGATTCCATGTTTATAAACATTTCTTTAAACCACATATCCGTTACCAGTATCTGCTCCTTATCTTGTAGTTTTTGATTAATTTTTCACACATCGTTGTAACTAGCGGTAAAATACACCATGGTTCGACTGATAACCAATCTAAACAAATCAGTGTAACAAATAAGAAAAAGCTATTTTAATTATTAATACATGTTTTAATATTGTTAGTTTTTTTTTTCAAATATAATTGNCTTTCATTGACAGTAGATCTTCGGATGATTTGTTGCTTTTTAAAGATGACTTTTACATGCAATTATTTACTTGATTAATGTACTACAATGTGTAGGAACAACTTTTCGAGGCAGATACGTATGTTAGCAATAAATAATTTAAGCGATCCATTTTTAAAATTTAATATGCCAAAACAATTCATACGGTGAAAAGAAATTAAAAGTGTTTTGCGAACAAATTACCGAGTTAAACTCTGGTGTTGTGGAGTTTATTTTAAAATTATAAATAAAAAAAGTTTCCCTGTTGTGTTATTGCCAAGTTTACATTACAGCGCGTGTTATTTTATTTGCCGCCGCAAAACACATAACAGTTTTACACATAGTTTTCAGGATCTTTTTTCGCGAAAATTTGTTACGCTGAGGACCTGTTGAATTGATGTAATTATTGATTTTTTTGACGTCATGAAATCTTTTACGTCATTAGTCAATTTTGATGCCGGTTTGCGAATTTTTTAAATGTCAGAACAATGTACCTATTATAGATATTTTTGGATTCAATGATTTCTTTAGAAGTTTTAGATACTTCCCTAGTAATAGTTTTGAAAGTTATGTTTTACCTTTTTCTCTCTGTCGTGTTGAATATTTAGTTAAGAAGTTGTAATGCTGTGTTTAATTTTTTTTGAAAATTACTTCGAGAGGTTTCGTGTTGCGCTGAAGCAGTAGATATCTGTAATCTTTATTGAAACTCCGATTACAAGTTTTTGATCCTTATTTCTTACCATCCAATCTATTTTTGATCTTTATTGAAACCCTTATTACAAGTCTTTGATATTTCTTATTATCGAAAGTATTCACCTTTTGATGGAGGTAATTGAGAATGATTCATGAGGAAATGGAGCCTTTCGTCTAAGAAGATTAAATTCCTTTACCAAGTAACCGTTTTTAACAAAAATTGCATTTTCCGAGAAAAAGCATTTAAAGAAATTGAATTGTTACATTTTTCTTGGTAAAATAAAGTACAAAAGACGTTTAGAAGTTGGAAATAAAAAAGTTGGAAAATTTTGCGAAAAAGGCACTTTCTTTCTATGGTTTCAGTTTATTACGTCAGTGGTTTCGGAAAATGGATCGATATTAAGGGGCACGCAGTCGACTACGGGAGGTATATGTATGGGTTGTTTTCAGCTATCCTAGATTTCCTTTAGGTGATGGGGTGTGGGTTCCAGGATCTGTGCTCACAAAGAATATGTAGGAAGTTTTTTTAAGTACTTTTATGATATCCAATCATTAAAATTATATTTTTTCATTATTTAACGTTGTTTTTGGCTTCTTATGTGAAGTAGACTTTTAGGTAAGATTCTTTTATTGGTCTTAATGTATAATGAGATTATAAAAATGTATTAAAAAGGGTTCTTTTCCAAAATGGAGGTAGTCGGATTCCTATGTTAAAAGTGGACACGAAAGAAATCGCTTTATCTCGATAAATCTTCATTTATTGAAGAAACTTTAACACTGAAAAATCGGACCCCTTTACTCTTATCGGAAAAGTGGTTCTAAACAACATTCTCATTTAACTTATTTGATTAAATCATACAAATTATGTTATAGAAGTAAAACGAAAAAACATCAAAATACGACCTTAAATTATTTAAGAACAAAATTCCTCACACTTGAGTATACGTGCAAGTTTATTAATGATGTTACGTAATCTGTTACTAATTTACATGTAAAAATCAGGTCTAGTCCAAACTTTTCCGAAAAAATGACATTTTTTTATTTAATTTAATTCGCCTGGACTAGCAGCTTAGAACCTCGGATACCGTCGGAAAGCGCCGCAGTTTCGGATTTTTAATTCAAAAATAAAAATATAAGATATTAATTCATTAGAGTATTATGGTTAATTAATCGATTACAGCAGCACAAAATAATTCATGAATCAGCTGACGCTAAACTACATATTTTGAGTACTGCCTTTTCAGTTAATTATCCTAATTAATTGTGGATAACAATTGATTCATCAGTGACTCAAAGTGACCACAGACCTGGATTATCAGGGAATTTAATGCAACTACGGAATATTAGAGTATTTCGTAAATTATCAGCAAAATTCTGAGTTCAATATTTCGAAATAATTTACATCAATCATGAACCTTCTCCTTTAATAGTCTATGTTATATTTTTAATATAGAATTATTAATAATTATTAGGGCGTAAATAAATTGTGTTATTAACTGTTAATTCTTGAGGTTGTTTTAGTTTTTCGTAAAAATATCTTACCATTTAAAGTTGTTTTCAATCTTTTATTCTTCATAAATGCACAATAAACATTATTAAAACAAAAATTGTACTGGACAAACGAGAATTAACAGGGAAATTTGAAATCATTTCTTTGTGGCTACCCTACTAGTAACTTCATTTTCTCTGGAAAGATAAGTCATTTAAAATATTTTTGTAAAGGCATTGAATTATTCTGTAAAAGTAGTAGTTTGAGTGTGCCTTTATTCCTAGATATCCGCAGGTCCTAGGCGGTTTTAATTTTGCCTTGCAAAATACAATTACTTTTGAATGCACGTTACGACTTCAAGAACTTAATCAGCCAAAATCAGCGCTGCCAGAGGAATTTCTTTTCATTACCTAGTTTTTTACCGAAGTGACGCCGCTAGATCGTCACGTAAAATGGCCTTCCTCTGTCAAATTCTTTGAAACTTTGGATTGCGGTAGTTCTTGACGTGTAGATAAAAAGTCTCGATGGGGCCCTAAATCGTAAAAACTCATCTTTTTGAGGTATAGTCCCTTAAAGTTGCATTCTATCGTAAGGACTTCCAAGATACAATTATTTACATGTAATATTTTAAAAAGATGGCTTTTAATCCACACCTCGAGAACTACTAGAATATAAAGTTTCAAGATAGAGCATATAGCGGGGTCATTTTTTATAGCGAAAAAAGTCCTTTTCTCCTTTAGTTGTTCACACGTATTTAAAAAAATTTAATAATTTTTCTGATCAAAACTGTGCTAATTAAATTTAATTTGTATAATCATTACATTAAGTGATTTTCAAGTTTTGTCACATTACAATGGCTGTTTATGTTGCGTGAGTCCTGTCGTAAAGTTTTATAGCTAATCCTGTATCGCGTGTCAACATGTTAACGTTTAAGTATTTGTGTAAATAGCGCGTGTAATATTTCAAAAGAGGAGAAAAAAGAATTAATTGTGAATTATTCATTAAATCATCTAAACAAAACGTGCCCATATATCATATACACGTAAAATTCATGTTTCATGCAAGACTGATCCGCTTTTTAATTAGCTTCTTGCACTAATTACTGCCGAATTAACTTTTAAGGTAATTCTAAAGGCATTTAAAAATAAAAATCCATTGTAGGGATGAAATGCTGGATATAGATGAGTTTCGGTGTATCTGTAGAGCGCTTTTTCGTAATGACAAAGGCAAAATTTATTCGCTTTCGGAAATGCAGTTAAGAGAGATATTTGAAGTTTTTGACAAAAACGAGGATGGTTATCTCGATAAAGAAGAGTTCGCATTTTGTTGGAACAACTGGATAAAAATTGTAAGTACTAGTTGAACGAACGAAGTATCAAATGTACCTAAAGTACTATCCAATTAGTTTTCTTCTTTTCGTTTTAACTTCATTACGTAGCTATTTTACCGCAATCTTCTATTGTTTAGTTTCTCTTGAACGGTTAAAATTTCGTAGAACTGAATGGGGAAAAAGAACGCAAAAACATATTTCTAAGTACAAACTTTCTTTCTCATTAAATCTATCATCTAACATGTTCTCGGAAACAGTTTAATAACAGAACCTAGTGCGTTCTTTGGCTTCTCTATACCATATTTCTTAAATGCTTTCTAGATATATGTATTTCATATGCTCGTTTTGTGGCATGTGGCTACCCTTAACGTAATTTAAACATTGTTCTCCTACCAAAGGTTTGGATACAGCTATTATTTCTTGATAGTATCCGAAAAAAAATGTAAAATTGTAGGTCGTCCGCCCAATATCGGTATTTTTAATTGTGGATGTCCAGAACGACTTTATAAGCGGCAGTTTAAACATAAGCCATTGCTCGGCCCAACAAGATGGTACTGAAGTGATAGAGCCTATTAATAGGCTTTTGGACACTGTACAGTTTGACGCAGTTTTTTACTCGCTGGATTGGCACCCTAGCGATCATATTTCCTTTATAGACAACATCGGACAAAGGGAACTAGATCCTTCAAGTCCAGTAACTGCAGAAAACGCAAAAGTCTATGACACAGTTATTTTCAAGGGTCCACCTCCTATGAAGCAAAAACTTTGGCCCCGACATTGTGTCCAGGACACTTGGGGATCTGAATTACATAAAGATTTGAAGGTACTGTGTCCAACTACAAGGAAGTTCAGTGAATTGACTGTAATGTTCTGCAATGGTCTGTCACATTCTTCTAAGCATTTCGGCATATTCAGTGGTGATTTGACTGGAGTTAGTAGAATTAAGATCAACTACACCCCAGGCAAATGGCTATCAAAAATGTGCAAATGTTTAAAGCAGATTTCAGTGATTATATAGCTAGATAATTAATCTGGAACTCAGTGACGATTAATCTGGAGCTAGTGAAATCTTGACTGAGTAGTCCCAGTTAAATTACCCACTGGAGCTACAAGAGACGTGACTGATTGACTTAATCATCACCATTGACGATGTCCAAATGTTTTAAGCAGATTTCTTGGGCCAATTATACCACCACTGACAGTTTCCGAACACTTGAAGGAGGATTCAGTGGTGATTTAGCTGGAACTAGCCCAGGCAAATCACCACTGATGATGCCCATACGTTTGAAGGAAAATTCAGTGATGATTAAGCTGCAGCTAGTGAAATATTGACTGAATTACTCCAGTTAAATTACCAGTTGGAGCTACAGGAGTCGTGCCTGATTGACTCAACCATCACCGCTGACGATATCCAAATGTTTAAAGCAGATTTCATTGATGATTTAGTTAGAGCTAGTAAAGTCGTAATACACTGGACTAATTATACCACCATTGACAATTCCCGAACATAAGGATGAGAATGCAGTGGTGATTTAACTGGAGTTATCCCAGTCAAATCACCTCTGATGATGCCCATATGTTTGAAGGGAAATTCAGTGATGATTAAGCCGGAGCTAGTGAAATATTGACTGAGTGGCCCCAGCTAAATTAAAGTCGTAACTCAATCATAACCGCTGACGATGTCCAAACTTTTAAAGAAAAATTCAACGATAATTCAACTGAAGTTAGTAAAGTCATGGCTTATTGATCTTAATCAAATCACTACTGAAAATGCCCGAATGTTTAAAGGAGTATTTAGTCGATTATTGCCGAACATCTCAGAAAAAGTTTTACAACGAAAACGAAAGAATGCATTTGTACTGATGGGAGGTTTTTCTAGGTAATAGATAATTCTATAAAAGTCTATAAGGGCACTAATCCTGAAGTAGACTCTTATTCCGTGTTTTGGGATAACAGAAAGCTGACAGATACAACGCTTTGTGCACAGCTTCGGATGAAAAATGCCACTGACATTTATGTGTGTGGTTTAGCCTATGACGTGTGCGTGGGTAAGTCAATTAAAATATCACTTGAGGGATAAAGTGGTGGAATTAATTTAACTTTGTTGCTTTCGCGTTACAAAGGAAAATTGTAATTTTTGTAGGAGCAACCGCTATAGATGCCTTATCAATAGGATATCGTACAATTCTGCTCGATGATTGTAGCAGAGGTGTCGATTTGGTCGATATAGAAAAGACCAAAAATTCTGTAATTGACAATAATGGCGTTATTGTTAATTCTAGTGATGTTAAGGCTATGGTAGAAGGTAGAGATAGAAGGCCTGAACTTGGCTACAAATTAGCCATGGAACTTAAAAACTATTCCATGGATAATTGAATTATTGTTATACTCGTTGTAGAACAGTTATTGTTCAAATGTTGATAAGTTCTTGTATTAACATTCCGTTATAATAACGAATTTAATTAATTCAATTAATTTAGATGTTAGTTCGTGTTCTTTGTAAACCAATAAAAATACAATGTTCTTTACTCTATTTTTTTGTCGTAATCTTAAAGTGTTGAAATATTTTCCTAGAAAATTTGGTACATGGTAAAAAAGGTGAGTGATCAAATATTATCTTATAATGAAGTTCAAGATGTCGACCGTGTAAGAGAAAAATTGGAAAAGTCAGAATGATTTGGAGAAATCGCAAAGGTAAAGAATGGTATTTTTTAATTTTGGCTTATGCAAAATTGTTGGAAAAATAGTGCGTCTGGTCAGGGGAAAATTCGGGAAATTTTCTTTCATTGACAGTAGATCTTCGGATGATTTGTTGCTTTTTAAAGATGACTTTTACATGCAATTATTTACTTGATTAATGTACTACAATGTGTAGGAACAACTTTTCGAGGCAGATACGTATGTTAGCAATAAATAATTTAAGCGATCCATTTTTAAAATTTAATATGCCAAAACAATTCATACGGTGAAAAGAAATTAAAAGTGTTTTGCGAACAAATTACCGAGTTAAACTCTGGTGTTGTGGAGTTTATTTTAAAATTATAAATAAAAAAAGTTTCCCTGTTGTGTTATTGCCAAGTTTACATTACAGCGCGTGTTATTTTATTTGCCGCCGCAAAACACATAACAGTTTTACACATAGTTTTCAGGATCTTTTTTCGCGAAAATTTGTTACGCTGAGGACCTGTTGAATTGATGTAATTATTGATTTTTTTGACGTCATGAAATCTTTTACGTCATTAGTCAATTTTGATGCCGGTTTGCGAATTTTTTAAATGTCAGAACAATGTACCTATTATAGATATTTTTGGATTCAATGATTTCTTTAGAAGTTTTAGATACTTCCCTAGTAATAGTTTTGAAAGTTATGTTTTACCTTTTTCTCTCTGTCGTGTTGAATATTTAGTTAAGAAGTTGTAATGCTGTGTTTAATTTTTTTTGAAAATTACTTCGAGAGGTTTCGTGTTGCGCTGAAGCAGTAGATATCTGTAATCTTTATTGAAACTCCGATTACAAGTTTTTGATCCTTATTTCTTACCATCCAATCTATTTTTGATCTTTATTGAAACCCTTATTACAAGTCTTTGATATTTCTTATTATCGAAAGTATTCACCTTTTGATGGAGGTAATTGAGAATGATTCATGAGGAAATGGAGCCTTTCGTCTAAGAAGATTAAATTCCTTTACCAAGTAACCGTTTTTAACAAAAATTGCATTTTCCGAGAAAAAGCATTTAAAGAAATTGAATTGTTACATTTTTCTTGGTAAAATAAAGTACAAAAGACGTTTAGAAGTTGGAAATAAAAAAGTTGGAAAATTTTGCGAAAAAGGCACTTTCTTTCTATGGTTTCAGTTTATTACGTCAGTGGTTTCGGAAAATGGATCGATATTAAGGGGCACGCAGTCGACTACGGGAGGTATATGTATGGGTTGTTTTCAGCTATCCTAGATTTCCTTTAGGTGATGGGGTGTGGGTTCCAGGATGGTTTTGATTTTGGGAGCGCGTATTTAGTGCGCAAATTTTCCGCACATGGTCGTGGTGCGCAAAGGCGAATCGATATAGGATTTTTCTCTCTGTCCATTTCGCTTAGCAGCGTTAGACTTCGGTTCATAGGCTTATGGCCTGGCGTGCTATAAATTTCGGCGCCCATGGCGATGTGAGTGACTCTTGTGCGTGGCGGTCGGCAGGATGAGACATGGTTACGAATTGCAGTTGAATTAAACTTCGTGCAGGGGATGCAAGCCACGATCCTGCACGCCGTTTTGGCGATAATTCTGCATGTCTTCCATGTGATCGAGTAAGTTTTTTTTACTTGATGGGCCCACTACATCATCGTCATTTAATGTACATACCAACACTTCCAGATTTTCATGGGAAAATCTTTTTCTTTTGCCCAAAAGGAAACTTAATTAAAAAGTCCTTTAATTAATCCGTCCTAAATGATTCCCCACTTCCTTATGTGTAGGAAAACAATCCAAGCCATTTCGTCGTAAACAATTTCAGTATCCATCAATGATTTCTATTTTTGGACTTGGTGTTGTTTTGATAATTTTCCAGTTTTCCTTTAAATCTGAACAATTCAAAATTTGTGTTTAAGCATGTTTTTCGCAGGCATTCGTAGTTTTTGCTAATCGATGTTGTACCAAGTAAAGAGTTTTCACCTGTAGCAAAATGCGCCCTAATTTCCGCAAAGCTTTGCAGAAATTATCTTGCATTTAATACAAAGGTCAATGAACTTTGGCAAAGCGTTTAATTTGAAACAAATGAATACTTGACATGGGCCACTTTTGCGTGCATTCCTGTTAAATTAATTTGAATGCGCGCTGTAACGAAATTAAATTGGAATTGCAGCTTTGAAATTTTGTTTCAAACTATTATGAAACACTTAATAACTCGACCGATCGGTGAAGTTTAATACGATGAAAGCAATGCTTGATTAATTATTGCAATTATTTATATCCCAGTTTCAACGTTTAGCCATTTGGAATGTTCAGTTACAATCTCGATATAATCAACTATTATTAACACATTCAACTGAAATGAACAATTCTGTGAAGTTAAATTTAGGACTTCGTGTGTGTTTGCCAAGCGTTTCTTTACAGGCAACTCGTTCCGTAATATTTTGGCAAATTACAACAACTCATTGTTCCTAATTCATACGTAGAATATCGCAATAGTGTTTAATTAACGATAAGAAGGGCATTGCAAGTAAACATGTGCTTTGATTTTTAATAGATGTTCAAACGTCAAGATTAATTTTCGAGAAAAGGAAAAAGAAATTCTGGATCAAATTTTGGGCCCAGGACGATACGATGCGAGAATACGGCCGTCTGGTGTAAACGGTACAGGTGAGCCTGTTTACAAGAAAGTCTCAACGTGATCAACAATACTAACCGATTGCCAAAAATTATACATTTAGGGAAAACACCGAAAGACATATTTGAAAGTATTCAAATGAAATTTGAAACACTATAATAGTGATTCAGGTCTAAAGGCCGTCGTCGGTTGGAGTTGCTTCCTGGTACAAAGACGAGCTCCTTCAGAAGTTCTTCCATCCCCGATACTCTTGGTATCAAAACGTTAGGAAGCAACTTCAACCAAGGACGACTTTTAGATCCGAATCAGGACAACAGGACAAAAGCCTTTACTAGTAATATGTATTCTAAATAAGTATTTAGCAAGTATGATAAATCATTTGGGACCGTTTGGCGAATTCCTTTCACACTTTTCTAAAAATACTCAGATGATTCAATAGAAAAGCGACAAATATCTTCTATGGCATTTACAAATTATGCACTCGAGTCGTACGTAAAATCGTATAAATTGGTACTGTTTGAACAGACGACGACGTTGTTGGTCTTGTTGGTCTTTTTTTGAACTAATGTTAAGGTCAATTGTCGATGATAAATCCTTAATCGGATTTTTCGACAAATTGTGATAAACTGCCGTCAATTTAGATGGTCCGGCAGTAGTGCAAGTAAACCTGTTCGTCCGAAGTATAGCAACCATAAGTGACATCAAGATGGTAAGTGGAGTACCATCCACTCCCAGGTTCTTGTAGGCTATTGTAGCACTCAGTGTTGTCAGGTCTTAACTATTAACTATCTTCGTTCTATGCATGTTTTTTTTTATCTTTAAATTGTCCACTAATAAGTATTACTACTGCAGTCACACCCATGATATGAACAAGCGACACCGTGTATATTAAGAAAACACCGAAACCCAAAACAATTTTGCGCGAAATTTTGGGTTTAAGTGTCATTTATTTAGTTTAGTACCATAGAATTCCATTTGATTTTCTTGTTTGTATGGTGAAGTCCGAGAAAATTGCCGAAAGCTTTGTAAAATTGTAAAGATCCCCGCCATGTTTTTAATAAACAAAAGTATACGGGTAGTCGACACCCTTTATACGGAAAGTAAAATGTCGAAATTGAAGGGGAAAATTGTAACCGATGAATAGAAATGGGTCACAAAAAACCCATTATGTTTTTAATAAACAAAGATGTAAAAACGTTATCAGGTACCTACTCACGTTGTTATTATTATTAAAGTTTATGTCGTTTTGCGTTTCTTTGTCGATTTTTATCCGACACGAAAGAAAACAAAAAGCGAAACAATAAAATTTTTTTTAAAGCCTCTAAAGTGGTACTGGTTAATCGACGGTTGCCTTTATTTAAAGAAAACTGAAGCCAAAAGCACCTATGTAATAACGATTGATGGAAAATTTCTCGTGTTCTATAATAAATGTAAAATACGTTTGAAATTAAACTACCTGAGCTTTCAGGAAAAGGAAATGCGTTCCTAATAATATCGATATCAGACTATGAATTATTATAATTATTGAAACGCGAATTATACATTTAATTAATATGAAGGCGTAAACGAAAAAGAAGTCAATAATGGAAAATAATTTTCCGGATAATTTTTTCGATTTCGATTTAATAATTTGCAATTACCAATTAACACATAATTAGAATTTAAATAAATTGATGTTTGAAATATGAAGTAATAATTGGTTTAAAATAGTTCTACTGATTGGTTTATATTATGTACAATTATTGTACGAAATTCCTATATTATGTGCCGGGCATCGCGAATGATACAACGTTGTAGATAACACATTCAATCTAAGTACGTTTGCAGTAACTGCTTTAATCAGTTTATGATTTTAATTTGGAAAAATGTGTACTATTTGCTTCAATTAACGAATTGATTACCTACGATGCATAGTAATGTACCTAAACAATACAACGGTCGATGTAGTAACTACATTAAAAGATATTGTTAGCCAAATTGTGCTTGCTATTGTCTCAATTCTGATTGTTGTTATCCAAATTATAACTATTGTTACCTAAACTCCGCTAACAGATATTGAATATCGTTACACAAATCCTAACACTTAATGTCTCTATTGTTTATTACTGTGTTCAAATTCTAATGTTTTCGTTAATTTAAATTCGTATTGTAATTATTCAAATCCTATTTGTTGTTCTCAAAACTTTGTTGTTTTTGAAATTCTAACAATTGTCGGATTGTCGCCTAAAATCTACTTATTGTTATTCATATTCTATTGAGTGTTATTTAAATTCTGGATATTATTATCCAAATTCTACGTATTATTATCTAAATCCTATTTGTTGTCGTCGCTGGGAAGCACCTATACAACGATGTTCCTGGTATTTCAATTTAAACGTACATATAACATCATATGAAACATTTACAAAATGTGGAGTTTAAAGTGGGATAAATGTTAAAATTTATTGCAAGTTAATAATATAAATACAAATGTGGACCTTTAATTAGTAAATTTAACATTAATATTTACTATTGCAGGACCGTTTTAATAAAAACATATCGATTCTATATAGTAAATTTCAGTTAGAGAAGTCGTTTTGTTTAGATGAAATACATATATCTATATTATCATACCAACACGACGATTATTGCAATTTTTAGATTAGAATCCTGTAGTTTCGCTTTTCAAATAGATAGATAGTTTTTGAAGTTTTAAAAATTATATAATGTAACTTTTGGATTGACCTTTCGACCTGACAACACTGTGCAGTGTTCAGCGTCTTTTTATCGCTGCAACACTGAGCTTTCGTAGGTCTAGCGTTACTTTTATTATAAAGTACAAGTTGCTGAATGCATTTTTTTTTGGGTAGTTCGGTACCCAATAGATTGCAGGTGCGGGTGCCTTCATTCTAATCATAAGCTATTGTGGGAAATTCAATTTAAAAACTTTTCCTAAACTTAGCCAATAAAAATTGAGATGAAATGGGTTTTATTTGTCTGTTATACATATAAATGGAAAATTCAAATACAAACATTCCATCTAACAAGAGGCTTTTGAAAGAATACAATTGTAGTGTATATTAGTGATGTAAATGCAAAATTTGATTGCGGAGAAGTTGTTAATTAGCTTTTAGTTAGTTAAAAAAGTGGAAAATCCTTTTTTTCTTCTGGAATACTATTAGAAGTGTTTGGAATTATTTTTGCAGAAAAAAAACCGAATGAAATTTACAAATCGCTGAGAGTTGTTCACTAAGAACTTGTAGGAGATTTCTTAAAGTGTTCACTCTCGGAAATTTTATTCATTCATTCATTCTTTACTAAAGTAGAAATGTAAAACTCTTACCGAGAAAATTGCCCATGGTAATGTCGATTTTATTCTTTTATTACCGCGAAAGAAATTCTATTCAGAAGTAGATTTTAATTTTACTAATATCTAATACATAATAAAACCCATTTCATCTGATATGCATTATCATCACACAGGGGGTTTATAAAAGTTTTTACAAAACCATAAACGACAACATAACAGTTTTGTGTCCCTTTTTGGTATTTCCGATATATCCGCAAATATCCATTTAACAACCTTTTAGTCCAATTGAAACATTACTATAGCAATGCGGATATTTGCGGATGTTCTGTTAAAAAAAAAAAAAAACACTATTTAGGTAAGCCCAGTGGTTTTCCGCCATGAATTTTCTATTGAGTGAGTAATACTATTTATTTTGTTTATACGATGTAGGAGACGCCCCGACCATAGTTAACATCAACTTCTTTCTTCGATCTATCAGCAAAATAGACGATTATAAAATGGTGAGTCGCGAAATGGGACTGTCATTTGATGGTTGTGTCGTGTTTTCGTAAAGTGGTAGCGGTAACAAAAATAACCGTGCACTTGGTGACTTTAACAAACCACTTTGTCTTCATAAGCTGTCGCTGTTACCAACTACACAACGTTTCACATCGCTTATCCAACAAGGAATTTCCTGCAATCCCATTATTATTTTTCTTTTCTCATTTTAAAAGGAAAACGTTATCGTCAATTTCTTGTGGGTATGCGATGTGATACCCATTCACGTAGTAGCTGATCAAATTGTATTTTGTGTTACAATATGTTGTGTAGAGATACACCGCTTCATATTCATAATGTAATGTATTATCAAAGTGGTTTGTGCAATTTTGATATATGGCCCATTGAAACAAGTCATTTGCAGGGGAAATTTAATGTCTTTGTATACAGGATGTTTCATAAAATAACTATCTAGCAGAAGCAGGAAGGTAGCTGATTTTTTCTTTGACAATATTCTTTTGTAACTATCGATTTTTGATGCAATTGATTGTACAAAATTATTAAGAAAAACAAGTAAAGCAACAATTTGGCTTGTAACCTGACATAAAAATGTTCAGTCTCTCAGAGTCTCTGAAAGCGAGAGAGACTGTCTAGAGATACTCATTTCGTGTCCAATCTCTGAACGAGAGACTCGAATCTCTCAATAAGTGGTGTCTCGATAGACATGGTTAAAATTCAACATATTTCAGAGATCCCAGTCTTTCTACGAGAGACTCGAGTCTCCCAATTTTTCAGTTTTATTCATTCAGTCTCTCTGTGAGAGACTCGAATTTCTGAATTAACAATTTTATCGTTCGAGTCTCTCATACAGAGACTGTGAGAGATCCGTAAAAACACCTAGGCAATAACAGAGAGACTGTGAAAGACTGCGAGAGACGCTCTCACAGACGCTGAGAGACTGGAGAGAGACTGAAAATTTTTGTCTAGGGAAGCAATGTCTACATTTAACAAACAAGAAGATCATTCAAATAATGAAAAAAAGAACCCTGTGTTTTCGGCACACTTCATAGCTAGTTCGTTTGAGGACTAAAATTAAAAACTTGTTTCAATGATATGTGTTTGTATGTCTGTAATACTTTAAGAAGAGCTAAATGAAATATGCGAACTAAATAAATGTCAATGCACAGAACCGTACTGCGTGAATAAAGTATAAATATATAAATTAATATCACGCACCCAGTGGTGGCGTTGTTCTTTTTCTTTTTTCTTGTGGCGATGAGGGCACCAGCACCGGCGCGTGCACGCGCTGTGAGCTGCATGTCGTTCATGTCATGTCATGTTATGTCATGTCATGCCATTGTGTCCCAGTCTGCGGGAAAATGCTTGCTGCTGCTTGCATGTGCCTTATTAGTCGGATAGATGTTGCTTGCAGCATGGGTGTCATACATACGTAAATAAATGGGCGCAGGGCGGGCCAGTTTTTGTGTCGGTCTGGGTAGAAACCCGTCCCTGAACGTTGCATTCCATAATTACGTCTTGCAGGAATACAGCGTGCAGCTAACGTTCCGGGAACAATGGCTCGACGAACGGCTCAAATTTGGAGATTTTGGTGGAAGGCTCAAATATCTTACCCTTACCGAAGCGAACCGGGTCTGGATGCCCGATCTCTTCTTTTCTAACGAAAAAGAGGGTCATTTTCACAATATTATCATGCCTAACGTCTACATAAGAATTTTTCCGTACGGATCTGTTTTGTACAGCATTCGGTAAGTTTATGGCTAACTAGAACTAGATTCTAATGAACGGATATCTTTTGTTTAAAACGATTCGCACGAATAAAATTGAGCGAGCATCTAAAGCACGCCTTTGTACATCAAGTTTTGGTATTTCCCGGAAATCGTAGGATATTGAGTTACCTACAAAGAGGGCGAGGCGAAATACAATATCTTTTCTAAAAGCAGACGCCTGTTCGCATGTCTCTTTCTAAGGTTTTATTTGATTAAAACTGCTACCTTTTATTTCAATAATGGGATTTCGATTCGCTACTTTGATTTATTGTCGGAAAACGTAATAGGAAAAGCAGTGGCAAATCTTTTAGTAAGTTTTTATCCTCATCCCCATAATATTATCTATTAAGGTTGAAATAGATTGTAATACAAAAGAGCAGGGGCAATTGCAACTTGAAATAAGTAAATGTAAGCACTTCCTCTATACGGGAATTTGAGCAATAATTCCCTATAGGTGAGTTCAACGCAAAAGAAAACTTTTTAACATTTTAGATTATTTAAAAGTAACTGTATTCCGTTAAAATTTTGTTTACCTAAAAGTGTTTTGTCAAACAGTAGGTGGACTGTCCGGGTGGGCCAGTCTAGCTTGCAGTAGACAGACGAGTATTTGCGATTTTCTGAAACATTGACAAGATGAAAGAATTCATGCAAATTGTTTTTGAGACAATATGTGAAAAAACGATTAAACTCGTCGAACTTCTTTCTATTTCCATTTATTTCTTTTTCGCCTTTCTTGATTCAATGCGAATAGAAGAAACAATTCTTCTCCGTCAAAGGAATTGTTTGACATGTTGAATCGAAAACAAGAAAACAAAACACGAATTCAAGAAATAATAACTTAGACAAACATTTTTTAAGCTGGTTCCTTCTACTTCTATTTGTCTGCATTATCTCTGACTATAGTCCGCGGTAGACGTGGTTGTTCTGTTCAGAGCTTTTAATGAAATTTGAGTAACTTAGAAACACAGATACAGCAATTAGGTGTTTCATTAGGATGAAAATATTAAGTAAATTTAATGGTAAAAGGGGTTTTTAGTTGTTTGCATTCGGTTTACCAGATAATTTACAATTAGTCTTCTGTTTTATGGCGATGCGAGGCACCTCCACCAAAAATTTAAAATCAAAATTTGATGTAATCCGCTGTGATATTTCGAAAAATCTTTTAGTAAATATTTGGTATCAGCGGGGTTTACTTTTGATTTAATTCTTTTGGATTACATATCGCTGTTCGTGCCTAAACTACGTTTTGTGGATTAAACGTCTTTTTTTAATATCTTCGCAACTCAATTTCCTTCGATTCAATTTCGAAGTAGAAATTTAATCAGACGGTGTTAATAAAATCAGCGAAATTGAATAATTAAACTGGCATCGCATGAAAAGGAGGAAGAAGATAAAAAATTGTTGGTGGATTCAGAGAATGAATGACTACATAATTCGGCATTTTTTCATGCCATGTAATTATGGAAAAGCTGCGATAAAGTTCAATTAAGTTTCTTTACTGTGAACATTTTGTTTTTACTTTTGAGGTAATTGGATGATTATTCTCACCTTTCTTGAACAAAATTAAATGCCATTTGGGGGAATTATTATATACCTAATTTGACAATTGGTTAATTATTCTCATCAGTTTTCGTTCCGCTTGCGACATTTCCTTATTTTCTATTGCATTTCCATTTTTATTTCTAATTCCCCAAAATTTTTCCTCGGAATAGACGTTTATTCTATTAGATGGAATGTTATTGATTCGGAAAAGTTTTCCGTTTGAGAATATTCTGTAGTTGTGTGTAAGGGAAAGTGAAACGTAGTACTTATTGGAAATAAGTAAAGGTTAAAAATAGATAGCTTTCGATAAATACCCCTGAAGGATCGTTGAATATTATGTATTTCCTTTCAGTAAAAGTTTAAAGGTAATTCTGTATTACAGGATATCCTTGACGCTCTCCTGCCCTATGAATCTAAAACTGTATCCTTTAGATCGACAAATATGTTCCTTAAGAATGGCTAGTTGTAAGTAAACGTTATTAATTTATTGATTGGAAATTGCATTTGATACAATTTTCCAATTTAGATGGTTGGACTACGGACGATTTGGTTTTTCTTTGGAAAGAGGGCGATCCGGTGCAGGTTGTAAAAAATTTACACCTACCTAGATTTACTTTAGAAAAGTTTCTAACAGACTACTGCAATAGTAGAACGAACACAGGTACTTGTTATTTATTTTCCTCCGACTTGCAGCAACGGGAATGAAACTTTCCTTCCCTTTTCCAGGAGAGTACAGCTGTCTTAAAGTAGATCTCTTGTTCAAAAGAGAATTCAGTTACTATCTCATCCAAATCTACATCCCTTGCTGCATGCTTGTAATTGTATCGTGGGTATCGTTTTGGTTAGATCAGGGTGCCGTTCCAGCTCGCGTGTCTCTAGGTGTGACAACTTTACTCACAATGGCTACTCAAACATCGGGCATCAATGCCTCTTTACCACCCGTATCATATACGAAAGCAATAGATGTTTGGACTGGGGTTTGTTTAACGTTTGTTTTTGGAGCACTGCTTGAATTTGCTCTAGTGAATTACGCCTCGAGGTCCGATATGCACAGGGAAAATATGAAGAAGCAGCGAAGGCAATGCGAACTAGAACATGCCGCTTCAATGGATGCTACAAGTGACCTCATTGATACCGAAAGTAATGCTACATTTGCCATGGTAAGCAAAAGAAATTTCGTAACTACTGACGACCGAAAACGCATGCGCTACTTATCCCCTTCCCTTTCGTATACGCTACTAACCAACGTGTCGACATTGGTCGTACATACTTCTTTTAACGTTCTGTGTTGATTTTGTGGATAAATTTTAATATCACTTGATACGTTTTACAAACGAAGAACGACAGGTCAAGTGAAATCGTTACAAAGGTGGATGTCACAGGTCAAAGTTTAATATCCTGCTTGCTAGTACTACTACGTCTAGAGATTTCTTATTTTTATTAGGTATGTATTTACTTAATATCTGTCTCTTTGAACGAGATAGATTTCCTTTGAGAATAGAAATACGCGACTGTTTCTATTGAGTAATGCTTTAATATTCAATCCCTGGAAAAGCGAAATTGGAAAAACACAGTAGCAGTTGTATCCATGTAAAAGGAAACTATTCCTTTCAATGTTTACGCAATGTTCAATTTAACGAAAGTCGAGCTATTTTTGAAACAAAATCACCGCAATACAAAACGTACCTACAATGAATAAAAGGGAAATCGTATTTTTAACATTTTACGAGACTATTCATAAAACACGTTCGGTGGTGTTTTAAGTTGATGAAAAATAAGCGATGTAATTTATTAACGCCAGGGAAAAACGGTAAAAATGTTAAGTTTTAATTACACGTTCTACTTCCACGTTTTTTTTTTTTTATCGTTCATTATAAGCGATACTTAATCAATCTAATAAACAACAATACGTTTTACATTTATAATATACATACACACTCTGAAGGGGTTGATTAATATTATATTATATATACTGCTTATTTCATCCCCGAAAATGATGAAAATGGTTGACTAATTTTGAATGAATTGAGTAACGTATGATACAGGGTGTAAGTTACGATGTAATAGACTTGACTTTCAATTGCGCTTGACTTGATGAGTTATTGAGAGTATTTATTAATTAATCTTGCAATAAATATCTATAAATGAAATTATAAAAAGGAAATAACAATTATTATTTTCGGAAACGTTGGTAAATGTAATTTCCTTAATGTTCAATTATTGGCATACTTCCACGAGCTGAATAATAAAAGTAATTTATTGATTAATAATGTAATCAATATTCATTTGTTTTCTACTTAAAGTTGACTGGTAAAGTAAACTGATGAATGTAATTAATTGGAACTACGTTTACAGAATGTAAATCCATATATTATTACAAATCCATGCACAATTTTTAGCAAAAAATACAAATGTCACCGTGCGATTGATTCGAGTTGTTATTTATATTACTTAAATTAAGTAATTGCTCTAATTTTTATTAGCAAGCATTTTAATAATTAACTGTTCAATTTAATATTACGACGTTGTTCACGATAATACGTAGAGGAAAATAATCATGTTTATACTAATTTCAAGTGACATCGCTGATAGACCGGTAAAATACAATTTTCATCAATCATCTTTTTTTCTGGTAGCGTGCTTGAAGCTGACTGAAGTAAACACTACTGTGCTTGAAAACTGAAAAGCTATTGCATGCTTATATACATCTCATATCGCATTTGAGATTAGTAAAATTGATATTAGGTAATATTGGATAATACGTTACAATACAACAAAGAGAATTTAGTAGTGGAAGATGTAATTTGACCTTAACAGTTCCGAGCAGATATTTGAATTGAAATTGGGCGAGATACAGAAAGGTGAACTATGAACTTTGAAATCATAGTTCCGATCTCTTCCAAGCTCGTAGATACGGACCCTTTATTATGAAGTGCTATTACATATTCAGATACTTGTAGAATGCTGAAGTAGTTTTTACTTCAAGTACTTACCAACATCATTTCGAAAATTTGCATTTCTGACAAAGCTCGAATTCAAAACTATTTTTGTTCCTATTTATTACATCTGCATAGAGTGCACAAACTTTATAAGCACCGTTAAAGTTTAATAATTATCTAATGCAGCTGTTTTACACAAACCTAAAGCAACCACTTCATGATGTTTACATGGTTGTTATTAATTTTTGCATGATATGTGTACTACATATATTAATTTTGTTTGTGAATCCGCTTTTACCGTCAGTTTCCCCACGTAATTTTACGTGCTTTTGGATATCAAAGGTTTATAAAATCATATTTCTAGTTTTGAAAATGTACGAACAGGATTTTATGCGATTTATAAATCCATCCTGCGGGTATATGAGGTCTAACAGTTTTATTTTAATTCCGCTGTCGGCTCTTATGGTGAAAGATATTTTTACGCTTTCTTAGTCTTCCGTAGCTTTTAAAATAAGCTTTTCAACATCCAAATATATATATATATATATACACGAACGCTTTTTATTTGATTTACATATTTCCTTATGTCAATGCATTTAGTGTAACTTGTTTATTTTTAAATCAATTGTAAATCTGCCTTCACCGTGAAATTTTACAGTTCGATTTCCTTCAGAAGTTTACAGAACGGATTTCGAAACATTCGGAACGCTTTTTTGTACAAATCTTGGATATAAGGAGATTAAACTGTTTAGTTTTTTACTCAAACTGCTAAATTGCGTCAATAGTTATCTTTATGCATTTAAATAAATTATTCTGTGAAATAACATTTTACATTTCACTCCGATTCCAAAACTGCTTTTACGTTTTACCATGAAATACTTCATTAGGTGTCTCTAGTCTTTAACGATAAGTTATAGAAGTGTTATCCGACCGATTCACCGCGCATCGCTTCCACGTGCACATTTTTAAGGTAGCTAAAAATGTAGAGAAGTTTTTTGTATTGATTATGAATTGTAATAAGGCGCACTTTCTTTGTTTATACTTCGATTTTCGTACGTTTTCGGTCTTCAGGAGTTTACAGAATGCATTTCTAAAGTATTGAAGAATTCGGAGCGCTTTTCTGTACGATATTTGTTAAAACTATTTGGCACTACGAATGTAAGTAAACATAAAGTAAGACATAGATGTTCTTATTTGGTTTACTTTTAGAAACCACTTGTCCGTCACCCAGGTGACCCAATGAGTTTAGAAAAAGTTCGACAATGCGAAATTCATATGCAACAAGCTCGACCAAACTGCTGCCGATCATGGTTATCCAAGTTCCCAACTAGATCTAAAAGGATCGATGTAATATCTAGGATAACTTTTCCATTAGTTTTTGCACTATTCAATGTTATTTATTGGTCGACCTATCTGTTTCGGGAAGAAGCCGAAGAATCATAAATTCCTTTTTCCTCACTTTACTTGTTGTTCAAACAATACCTTATTTTAAACTAAACAAAATCATTTAATTATCTGTCATGTGGAGACCGCTCTTCTTCAACCCACTGTTATCAATTTAGCATGGCATTATACACAAAATGTCGAAGTTCGTGTTTACCTACAAACTCTTTGAGGGAGACCTCATCACAATTTGTTTTCTCTAAGTGTTATGGGATTTTTTTGCTCAGTTCTCAGCTAAATCTTGAATAATATTTATGAAGGGCATTGAAAAATATACGAACGCTTCCTTTAAAAATATTACTCAAGTTTACTCACTGTAATCTATACGCCACAAAATGAAATGTATACGTATGAAGTACTTACATGTAACATCTAATTAAAAATTGTCGGAATATCAACCAATGCTTCATAAAAAAAAAGAAATTAAAAAAAAAAATAATAAAACGTAAATAGCAGCAAAATAAATAATAACTGTTAAGTGTTTTGTTGTTTCCCTATTTCAAGAGCTGTCTATATGTATATGGAACTGAGTTGTTTGAATTCCGATAATTGAATCGTCCCCTTCATGTATGTAATTGTTCCCCAGAAATAAGTTCAAAAATGAAAAGAGATGAAGAGTATTGGTCTAAACACTAAGTAATTAATTTGACTGCAAAAAGAGTGAGTTGTACCATTTATGAGCCACTAGGTTATCACTAGTGTTTCGAAGTATTTTTGGTAACTGTCTAAATGATGGCACTCACAGCTGGAGGGGGCGCTAATGGCTAGAGGGTGTTTTAAATTAAAAAAATGTTTTTCGTTGAAGAGGGAGGCGCAAGGGTGGGGACAATGCTCGATATTTTACTCTCCATACATTCATCATTACAACTTTTTACTGTTGTACTTCCTCCGATCATGGGTCCCATCATCTGTAATTGTCTAAATGATGGTACGCACAGTTGGAGGAGGGTAAATAGCTGGAGGGTGTTTGACATTAAAAAATGTTTTTCGTTGAGGAGGTAGTCGCAAGAATGCTTGATTGTTCCCCTCCATACGTCCACCATAAAAAACTTTTTGAGTGTCGTAATGACCATCCCCACTCTCTCCGACCATGGGTTTCATCATCTATACAATTACCGTATTTTTTTGTACCGACATATTATAACATCATATACTAATTATATGCGTAGTGCACAACATTGTTCCATACAGGGTGGTATCGTATTTGTTTATTTATATTTGCGATATTGGTGTAGAAATATTGCATTTAATATTATAAGTATATCCAGTTGTTGAATCGTGCATGAGATATTAACCACTTTATTAGGAGAGATATATTGATGAGCGTTTGCTTTTTTGAAATCGATTTATTTGTGCTTGAAATAATTAATGATTAAATTTTTGGGAAGTTTAAGTGAAAAAGTGGTAAATGTCTTTACGAGGCAACTGATGTTCCTCTATCGTTGATTCGAAATAGTTTATTAAAGTTACGTTGAGCTACAAAAGGTTGTGCTGTTGTATGTTAAGTAGAGATAACAATTTAAAAAAAAAATAATAGGTTTTTAATTTTTTCCTTCGCAGTCGTCCTTAATAATGTTTGCGAATAATAAGAGCGACTATTCCATTAGGTTGATAAATATAATATCGGCATTTTATATTAAGTTATTTAAGCTAAAATGTACATATTAGGAAAGTAAGAAAATGAATGCTTCAAATCTACTCGATAGTTTCTAATTTTGTGTTCAACACATTATACAAACTATTTTTTTTGTCAGTCACTGTGACCAACTGTAAATATGCGTTTGTTAATTTCGTTTGTTTATTATGAAAATGAATTATTTGCTCATTTTAGCATACCTAGGACAAGCACAAAGAGTTACCGGAAAAAAACTCTTCATGTACATAATTAATTGCTTTATAAAACTGTACTACACGACTGTAATTTTTAATGTATAAGGATAATATAGAAGATCTACCAAAGGAATGTTCATCTATTATTCCTTTTTTATTTGCACCGATTAAAATAATTACTTAGTCTTAATTATATCCTCACCTCAAAGAACCCTAATATTCACGCCAAGGTTTAAGAAAAGTACATATACCTGTACCCATCGTTCCGCACTCTTTTTGGGGTACTTACAATACGAAAACCTTAATTTGATATAAGGTAAATATACTGGCCACTAAGCAAACACTACTTCCAAATTGTCATTAATGATGTATATATTTAGATTGATTTAATGTGTTTTTTTTATTCTTGTTTAATCTTTTCTTTTATAAAATAATTACCGTGTAGTACTTCTGCTAATTTTAGCTTTACTTTAAAAAATACATCGCCTCAAAGAATATCGATTACTTTTCCAATCAAACGGGTAATTATAAGTCATTAATAAGCAAAAAATGTTAATCAATTTGATGGAAATTAAATTAAAATTTACGGTGTCTACAGACTGCGCCAACATTAGAGTAGCCCATTAATGTAGTTTTATAAGCAAGGTTGGTCTCTTTAATTTACTTTCACTTGATTACTCTTGGTTAATGTTGTTTTTCTTTTATTCTCTAAAATTTGCTTAACTAAATTTTTTTGTGGGGTATTCAAAATGAAACTTTTATGAAAATATCACTTCATTTAATTAAGGAAATAAATTGATCATACATGATTTTGTCAAATAGTTTTAACTGAATTGAAAATTGGCTATAATGTGAATGGAATATTCAAAGGATTATTGGTGTTAGACCTTATTGAAAGCTGCAATATCAATACTTTGGACCTACAAAAAATTAACAAAAGTAATTAAACAACAAATATCTCACTTTCTGATAAAACTACTTACATAATCTTCAAGTTTCTCGATTTCTTCTTGAAGCCAGTCTACAGAAACTTTATCATCTTCAACAACACAAGATATTTGAAGTTTATGAATCCCATAAGCCAAAGGAACAAGTTTTGCTAAAAGTAGAATATTTCTTATTTTCTAAATAACAACTGCAACTGTATATAATACCTGCTCCCCATATGAGACCATCAGTTTCAATTTTACGTACTTCTTCTTCCATTTTCTTCATATCTGTTTCATCATCCCATGGTTTAATATCCAAAATAATATTTGACTTTGCAATAAGTTGAGGTTCTGTAACATAAAACATTAAATTATAATATATTATGTGTTTTGAAAAATTTTACTTTTGGATTTCTTGGCATTATAAGCTGCCAACCTTTCTTCTCTTATTTTGACTGCTTCTTCATTTTCTTCTTCTGAATCAGAACCAAAAAGATCTACATCATCATCTGCATCTTTTTTTGATTCAACTTTTGAAGGGATACTAACTGGTTTAACATTTGAACTTAGTTTACATTCACTTGGCGTTTGTTTAAGAGTATTCTCCAGACCTATTAGTCTTGATTCAATTGCATTAAATCGGCTTTCGAAATTGCTGATAACTGCAACACAAATTAATACTGTTTCAAATATATCAGTTTACTTTGAGATAAGATACCATTATGAAATTCAACCATTTTCTTTTCAAAAAACTTTAAGGCACTGGTATCAATTGGAGCAGAAGTAGGTGTTGGTAATTGAAGAGGCTGAAAAAAAATATGTATTTATTAGAATGTACTTTTATGAATGTCTTACAAGCTCAAAGTGAAATATACATATCTACAAACTCAAATTTAATTGAAGACATAAAATTCTGAGTAAAAAACAGCTAATTGTTCTTTAATTTACTCACATCTGGAAATTGATTTCTAATTTCTAAAAGTTGTTGCCTCGCTTTAGCTACTTCATTAGCCAAAGGAGTATTAATTACCTGCACCAAGAAATATAATTAGTATTATAATTTACTCTACTTTTTCTACACTGATTGTTCATTCTTTCCACTAATTATAAAACCCTTAGTTACCTGAGCTGACTTTTGGTAATATGCAGCTTCTGCATCGTCATATTTTGATTTATCAAACCAAAATTTCTCTTGTGATAAAGCAGCTACTAATGCCATTGTACTACAATAAAAAATAAATCAAAAAAAGAGAATTTACACGTGTTGGAAGTATTGGCATCAACCAGGTGGTTCTAACAGAAACGATGTTAAACACTTGCATATTAAAAGTAACTTAATTATTAATGTTACTAAATAAGTAGGAATTACAAAAAAGTCTTACCAAACTTTTTAGAAAGGAGAAAAACGTTTAATAATTTCAACTTTTACGAAGAAATGAAAAAGACAAATAAAGGTTAGGCTAGTAACTGACAATTGCTGACAATTCTTGAATGTGCTTCGTGTATAGTCAAACAGTAGTGGTTCAATAACCGCTTTTTATTTTATTTTCAAAATGGAGACTTACAATTTAGTTCTAATTTAATATATACTATACAAATTATGGAATATAATTGTCAGAATAATAAGTTATATTTAAGAAAATATTAAATTGTTGTTGTATAAACATTTTAATTAAATTTATTTCTTTACAAGATGATTGGGTCCCAAAAATGGTAATACAATGGTTGAAAGTGTTCATATAAATCTATTATTTTATACTGTAATTCGTTTATCATTTAATATAAGGTAGTAATATACCAAAATTTTACATAGGTTCTACCTGTAATACTAGTATTTGCTTCTGTATTTTGTAATATCCTTAGAATACTGTTATTACATTAATATAATGCAGTTTTATTAAGTAATATTTTTCTAAAAACAGTCAAATATCGATATTTAAATAATTAGATTGATCTGCACGAATCTCTGTCTGCATTTGCTGGCCAATCACAAATATGTTGAACGGTGTGGTAAACTGTTCCGGGTTTACAAGTGAATTCGAAAGGTTTTCCATGAACGCATCGGTAATACTGTAGGGAAAAAAATTAAAATATCTTATCAATTATATATATTCATTCAAATACCTTGTCACATCGCACGTGGGGTAGAAAGTCAGCCTCCTTGCAATCAATGTTATTGTCGACATCTTCTTCCTTCTCTGATACTTCCTCCACAGAAGGGGATGTCGTTGGCTTAGAAGCAGATGGTTTGGTTGTAGTTCTTTGGGGTCTTCTTGTTGTCGTTTTGGTGGTTGTTGACGGTTTAAGAGTCGCTACTGTGGTCGTTGGTTTCCATTCACTCCAAGAGGTAGACGAAGGAAGAGAAGGGGAATCACCGGAAGATTGAGTACTTGGAGGTCGAGCCCACTCAGGCTATAAAAAGACCATTAAATATTTTACCAAGGAGTTTGGTCTTACTAGATTACTCTTTTGGTTGTAGAAATGGTCGGTTCTGGTACTGTATATCCCTTCATGTTGGCATGGAGGATATGCATGAGGACATTCTTAGGTCCACATAAACCGTGGAAATCGTCCATATCAATTGCCCAAGTCATTGCGCCTGCATACCCTTTCGATTTTATCCAATCCATTTTAATTTGTACACTTTCTGGATCTTCATATCCAACCCATTGAGTTCCTAGAGTGATACATCGAGAACATTAGTATGTACATATAGTAATAGTCTTTATTTTTTGATACCTTTGTACGCATAAGGTACTTTTCCTGCTTCGTCCCATTTTTTCGTCCAACCTGATTCTTTATTCATAACTTCAGTGCAGATCTAAAAAAAAAATCGAATGGCAGATTACCTTTTATTTCTTAGTGAAATTTTACGCACTTCGTAGTAGGCTAAGAATCCTGTAGCATTGGTAAACGGTCCTGGATTTCCACCTCCAGCTTCCTTATTAATATAAGTACCAAGATTGTAATTTTGGTTTCCTTGACTCAAAGTATACGTTCTCCCGTAGAAAGGTATTCCAATTACAAGTTTCTTCGGCGAACAACCAAAATCGACCCATAATTGTACACCATCGTTCTTTAATAAATAGTCGTAAGTAGATGTTTTATTATTTGATGTACCATTTACTTACAACATTAAGTTTTTCGTAAGCCCATTGGTCGTGTGGTCTTTTGTACAGAGCACTGTGAGTATCAGCGAAACCAGCCCAGTTTCCTCTAAGGTCGTAAGACATTACGTGGACAGCATCTAAAAGTCTAAAATAATGGTAGGTACAATTGAAAATTCAGTTCAAAGTGAGTAATTTAGAAAACAATTATTACTCGCAAAGCTCGGGAACATGATATCCTTCTTGTAATCTAAATTTAGCGATTGGAACTGCCATGGTAATCTCCCATCCCTTTCCTTCCTTATCGAAAGCCCTTCTAAGCTCTTCCACAAAGTAAAGGAACATGTCTTTGTCAGAGAACTTTCCACCCCTATCTGCTGCAGCCGGGTATTCCCAATCCAAGTCAAATCCATCAAAATCAAATGCTCTCATGAAGTCTATCAAATGTTTACATTTAATTACTGCCAAGAATTTCGTTTAATTTTTCAAATTATTTACCTACGGTGCTACTTATAAAAGAATCGCGTCTAGCTTTCGTGGCTACCATTTGGGAATATTTTTCACCCCCTTCTGCCCATCCTCCTACAGCAATTTGAAATTTAACATTGGGATGTTTCTTCTTCAAAGCTGTGAAATTTTTAAAACCATTTTGTTCGATATCCAACTAGAAAAAATATTTTCGTCAAGGAACCATTACAATTTTCGTAAAGATAATCATACTTCGGGATCTATAACCAAAACGCCCCATGTTTTGCTATCAACCCCAATGAAAGAATAGACTACGTGCGTACACAGTGAAACTGGGATGTCTTCGATGCCATATCTTCCTACTCCGGGTCGGTAAATTGCCCAATTGCTGAAGTAACAGACAACTCTGCTCGGAGTTGCATCTACTACAAAAAAAGTGTTTTGTCGTTCAAGAGCGCGCTTTGGTTTCGTTAATTTTTTTTTGTCTTCTACTTTTTTTATTTCTATTTACGTAAAAGGTACAACTTACACTTACCTAACGTTGTAGCAAATATTACAAAACACAATAGAAGCGACAGTTTCATTTTCATTCTGTAAATAGAAAGTTAAGAAATAACAACGAAGAAAAACAAAATATATTTATTTGTTTGTTGCATCATTTTAACAACATAATAGATTCAATCCGAAAAGGAAGTGGTTACATTTGATATGCAGTTATTTTCTTTGGCCATCAACGAACAATGTATTTTAATTTTAATATTACGTGCATTGCGAAATGTATTGGAATTGTTTAAATAAAAGGGAATGTCGCATCACAAAGAGGCGGTACAGTATTATAAAACTTTTATTATTTTTTTTTTGTCTACTTATTAAATTTTTATTCAAACTACGATAGTGACAATTTGAAGAAACATGTTTAATACTGGAGCAATCAATGGATATGTTTAATAAAAATAATTGCTTCTTTAAGTCGATTGATCCAATTAAACAAAATCTTAATTGAGAATTTTGCNATAGAGGTACACATGTTAACATCAGCTATTTATAATTATTGAAGAAAACAGTAGATTATTTATCTATGTACAGAGTGATTTATAAAGCAAAGGATAACTGAAGATTCCAAACTCTAAAATAAGATTTAACGTGAATACACGTTATACAAATCATGGTATTAATGTATTTTTCTCGAACAATAATAATTAATTGATATATGTTTAGTATATTGAAGATATCACTTTAAATATAAAAATACTGAATTAATTTGTTAAATTACCTTTTTGATATAAAGTACCCTTTTCTGTTATAAAAAGAATTCCCTTTGAAAATGATCCGAAAAGAAATAGTTTAAACTTGTTGATTTGTTAAAAATTTGGTGCCTTATACCACTATAACTGCACTTAAAAAACAAATCAGTTGAACGGCACTGGTGATGGCGCAAAGAATGGTAACAAAAACGACATCACACTGGGGACAGCAGAAGATGGTCGGGGATTTATAGCAAAGTTTCGTTTAGCTTTTTTTATGTAGCATTGGGCCATTAACACGATGTGCATTTTGATACCAATATTCCCGAGTCATTACCATTAAAGATACTGTACATTAGATGTATCGTTGTCTTTATTTAGCACGTGTGGTTTTGAATACAGGTACTGTAGGCCAAAGAACTCCGCCCAAAACCGTAGGTGGAATACAAATTATATTCATTGTGAACATAAACAAGGCTCCTTATCAACCTTTAAGGCCTGTGTCATCGCCAATCCACATGCTATAAAATTTTTTTTTTTTACAAAGGCATGCTACGGTATGTTTGAACAGTACCGTCACCTTAAGTTCGGTGGAAATAGGGAGTGCCACTAGCAGAATGAAAATGACAAAATAAAGTAAAAGCCTGCGAAGAATACATTTATTTCAATTGTTGTTTGTTACAAACAATTGTCATTTGTTCGAACGGTTTACTTATCTTATTTTTTACTATTAACATAACGCTTGGAACTTCCCCAAGACAGTCCTTTTGTTTCTAATGTTATGTGTAAACAAAATACAGTTATACACAAATATAGAAGTATTTAATATTAATTTATGCAAATAATCGGTTTGGCGGAATGTTTTTTCTACATTTTTAAAACCGTAAATTGATTTAACAATCTAAAGTGAAACTGTTCGTTGCACTATGAAAGTCAATGATCTGAATTCGTTAGGAAGAAAAATATAAGCGCTTACAATACGAATGATAAGAGAATAAATCAGTTTTTATTACATTGAATTGTTCAATCTTCGACGGTAAATAGGAACAAAAGTTCATATTTTTGTTTTTCGAAAATTTGAATATCATTGGCATCTTTGGAGATAATTTTCTAAATTAATATTTTTTTATCACAATCTATCAATTGTACCTTTAAGCAAAGCTTATCTCATTTTTAAATTTATCAGATTTCAATTTGGCCCCCTTTTTGTGCCTTTCAAGCAGAGTAACTATGATGTACAGAATAATAAACATGTAGGGGCTGTACCTAGCCAGTCTTTTTTTTTGTGAGTCAAGGGTAGGTCATACCGTTGACATTAATATGCTAGGCATCTATATCAGAAGGTAAAGTAAAAAATATCTCACAATCAGACCACACTTGAATTCCACCACCCATTGGTCAGGAAGTGAATTTTCCTTTAACAATCATGCTCATCGAGAGAAAAATCGCAAAATCTCTGGTTTTTATTAAAAGTATTAGATAATTTTTTCACATTAAATACAAACGTCTTATAATAAAATTAACTTAGAAAAGCGTCTTAGATTAAGTGTAGTATCGGGTAAAGTAATTAACTTATTGTTATCCTAGAAGGGCCAGAACTTTAAATGAGCCACGGATCATCTCAGTGAAAGCGCACCCATGATTATGATTTTTTTGGTATACAACCAAAAATAAATAGACATTTACTAGTCGTAATATCTACAGCTAGGACACTACCGGAATACCAGGAATGCCTTCTAGAAACGATTGTTTTTGTTTATTTTTGTATTGTTAGTATGCTACATTGCGGAACCCAATGAATATTCACAACACATAATCACACAAATGGTGAAAATTGTATACGCTATGAGATTTGAATATTAATTAATAGGTAAATAAAAAATAAAGCCAAGGAAAATTTGTGCCTACAATTCAGTTCAGTTGAATAGGAAGTAGGTATTAGTAGATACCTACTTCTAGTAATCGCAGAAAAGTCCAATTAACAATTTATGAAGAGAAACAAATGCCGTTGGATCCAATAACGAAAACTAAAGAAACAAAGGCAATGAATGAAACGTGATCCTGCAAAAGGTTCGTTGATCCTTCTGGCGGATTAACTCGGCAATATTATGAAAGCACTACACTTTTAATAAGCATACTTTATACTGGCAACAGGTTTTTAAAAACCTGCTGAGAGCTTCTTAAACACATCAAGTTTACAGTCCTGTACGTAAAATCAAACTTTAAGTTTGTTAGTCCCAATCGAGTATAAGTAATACGTAGAATAATGACGATGTATGAATTTTTAATGTAATATATATAGAGGTACACATGTTAACATCAGCTATTTATAATTATTGAAGAAAACAGTAGATTATTTATCTATGTACAGAGTGATTTATAAAGCAAAGGATAACTGAAGATTCCAAACTCTAAAATAAGATTTAACGTGAATACACGTTATACAAATCATGGTATTAATGTATTTTTCTCGAACAATAATCTTATAATTAAGTACAGGTTCTTGCAAATAAAACATTTGCGGGGTGTTACTGTTTTTTTTTAATAATTTGTGGAGGGTAATGATAAAATCCTTTAAACTGAAGTAATTCCTTTCTATTTTAATATTTTTCAGATTTTGTGCTAAATAATTGTTTTTTTTTTATACAAGCAAAACTATCAGCTTGTAGTCCTTAGAAATGATCAAAACTTTTAATCATTCTTATTTCCAATCCTCTCAGTTAAGTGGGTATTTAGTACATCCTCAAATTCTTGGGACTCATTATCTATAGCTATACCTTGTACGGCTCACCGTTATCGCCGCTGCTAATAAACAATTATTGGAATTTTATTTTTATGTCGTATTAAAGTTTTAAGTAAACATAAATAAAATGGTTGTGTATAAAAAGTTTTTAATTTACTTAAATACATTTACGTAGGTGTCTGTATGATCCGGTCAGCTACCTAGTAAATTTTGCATTGTTCGGATTTTTACCTTTCAGTTTGTCCAAATGTTATCGCTTGTTACATTATCTAATTTTTGAACCAAAGAATGTGTCATTTCGTTTTATTTAAATGATAATAGACGAAGTTCTTGACCTGTGATAGCAAAATGGAGTCATGGGTCACTCATGCAACTAACGAAACTTACGCTTTAATCTTTTAAGGCGGGCATCTGCGAATGATACGTAACGTAACAGTGAACATGTTATTACGGCACGTGGAAAAGATTGTAGAAGCATTTTTAAATTTGGCTAGGATTTGAGCAATTATCATCACCATAAGGTTTTCAGAAAATAGTATTTTAGTCTAGGCCTGCCTCAAACCCTTTCTGCTTCTAATATGTCTATAACTAGTCCTTTGATTCTGTAAAGGATATTAGCCGGAACGGAGTCGTGTACACGGCAATGCGCACTTATTTCACACTGGAATTCCATTGAATCGTCGGACTGCGGATACCCGCCTTTATTTTTTTTTTTTAATACGCCAATACAACAAGTAGAATTTGATATGGTTATTGAAAACTTGCTAGAAATTAGTAGATTTTTAAAAGCAAAAAACAATTACTGGAAATTATGCGATGCAATTTGTCTGGAATAGTTGATAGTCGAGGCAAAGTCTGCGGCTTGTTGTTATTTTGCAAGGAATTTAAATGTGGCATCTAGTAGCTTCCTTCTTCCAAATAGTTATGAATGTTCGTATAAAGTAACATAGTTCGATGTGTAACTATTTATAGGCACCCTCGCTCTGCAGTTGCCTCAAATAAGTTGAAGAAATGTAATTCGTCAAGCGATAGATGGAATCAACCTTTTGTTATCGCAAAGTATTTTTATTTAGCCATTAATTTCATTTCAAAGTTCATGTTGAGAAATAATAAATTAATGTTTATAAATAGTTGTGGGCGAAAGTAAATGATTGGTAACTTCTGTGTTTGCTTGTATGAACGAGGTCGCTCTTATACAAATATTGATAATTCGCAAAAAATAGCGATTTAAGTGAAACGTACATGCTTCATATAATGTTACAGTTCTTTTCAAGTTCACTATTACTTTACTGTAAGATGCAAAATGCATTCGTAAACATAAACAATTATTTGCAATTCATATCAAATCTCACTCCAACCTTTTCGACACTTATCTCCGTAAAATTAAAATTCTTTTACAGTGATTATTCGGATTGAACCTTGTGAAATTATGACATATAAAAGTTATTATTAGTAAGCATGAGTTCTCTAGAAAAGTATTTTTTGTCATGCCTTTACAGAAAATAGCATTTTCTTCCCTAATTTCCGGGACGAATGTGAAATAAGAAATATATACGATATTCTTAGTATTTCCCGACACGATAAAAAACTACTCCTTATCTTGAGTTATGAGCAAATGGTGAATTGACTATAAATTGTATTCTGATAGTAATTTATCTCGATCTGGATCTGGACCATAATATCGTAGCCATATCGCCATGTGACTGCAACATGATTACCGAATTTATTAAACGAGAAAAAATTCTGATGTAATACTTCTCAATCAAGCGCCTTTTGACTCCTTTTTATACCCAATATGATCTTCATAGCGTTTAGGCGGTGAAAATCCCATCTCCATCGTAAGTCAATTATAAAATAAATGCAAGTACTGGTCATCTTCCCACATTCAGACTTCCTGCAATTCAAAAGCAATATTTGATGCATTCACTTCATTTTCCTTAATTTAGGGGTAGGTACTTTTCCATCCTATAATCGGCTGTTTTTGTAAATTAGGTCGTAACAGTTTATGCTTTATTCATATGATATTTATTATTAGCTTAAAGTAAAAGAGGATAAGAAAATAGGCGATTTTGGCGATCACTCTTTNAACGAGAAAAAATTCTGATGTAATACTTCTCAATCAAGCGCCTTTTGACTCCTTTTTATACCCAATATGATCTTCATAGCGTTTAGGCGGTGAAAATCCCATCTCCATCGTAAGTCAATTATAAAATAAATGCAAGTACTGGTCATCTTCCCACATTCAGACTTCCTGCAATTCAAAAGCAATATTTGATGCATTCACTTCATTTTCCTTAATTTAGGGGTAGGTACTTTTCCATCCTATAATCGGCTGTTTTTGTAAATTAGGTCGTAACAGTTTATGCTTTATTCATATGATATTTATTATTAGCTTAAAGTAAAAGAGGATAAGAAAATAGGCGATTTTGGCGATCACTCTTTTCGATATGATGAGTTTTGAGTAGATCTAAAACGGTATGTAAGTAATGGACTAATAAATATTTGAGTTATGGAAGATTAAGCTACAGGTGTTTGACTCTGTGTTATTTGTTTAATACAAAGTTTGTTTTAAAGGAGTAAAATCACGGAGTAATAATTTATTTACAAATTTGTTCAACATTTGATCACGCAATTAGACGATGTGGTCCAGATATTTTCAACATGTTGATCATCACATAAAATACATAGATATTTTCTGAAGCAAGTCAAAATTAAATAATATAAAACTAAAAAAGGAAAAAACATCCTATTTAAAACAAAAATACACTGAATTATCTAGTACAAGTTATTACACAAATCCAAAAATACATATACCTGTATATATATATATGTATTAATTCTTTTGATGCCTCGTCAACAAACTCGTGCTCTATATATTTTTTATTTAATTAACACAAAAGAGAGATCATATTGTAAACGCATGCTTGGGAGATATTTTATGATACTATGGAACGTAATACACATTGCAGTTGCATGTTTATTCGAAGTATTAGTAAAAGGAATCTCCAAACAAGGTACAACGTTCTATTAATTCCCATATCGTGGAGACAATGTTTTGTAAGTTACGAATAATTACAATTGTTATCGTAATTGAACATTGCAGTTAATAGTAAACATATGATAATAGTGAATCTTATCTAATACGTTAAACAATGTTGTTAGGAAAATATTATTATGTTACTACAATTTACATAAAAATTTCTTTCATCTTGTTCTTGAGAAACTTGTCCCATATGACTTTTTTGTTTGTTAATGTCCTCTAGATTTGTCAACATTTTTTTTTTTTTTGGCAAAATTGATAAACCTACACGCTTTCTAATGTGAGATTATATTTGCACATTTTTGAGAAATATTTTCGATAACCAACGTATTATTTTTTCATTGACACACTGACATGACTATTTAATTAGAACAAATGTTTACAATCTTTTAGCGAACACTTTAACCTTTGACATGAGATACACTATTTCTTACTATTGAACGTCTTTTCCTGGAATTACCATCCTTTAAGTTTCCCCACAAGGCAACAACTCTCATCATTCTGTTAATAATTTTTACTTTTCGAAATAATCGACAATTACATTCAGAAAATATTAAAATATTGAAGATTAATTGATTAGAGGGTTCTGCACGCGTGTTAAATATTTAAATTTCAATATTATATACAAAAAAATATTGTGCTAGAATGTTAAATTAATTTAACTTAATTAAAGTTATCAATTATCGGTTTAGATTTGGTTTATAAACGAATATAATGATAATGCGCAAAATATACATTTTCGTCTTAATATGTTATATACTATACATTACATGTATTCACATATATTTTAATACTTATTACTTACTACTATTACAATTATTGTTTGTGTGTATTTATTGGTGATCAAAATCTGGACTCGTGTTTCACTAAACTATTACAAAATTCCAAAATGCCTCAAACAAATAACTTTACATCCTGGATTGCAAAATCTGACCGCTTTTTTATCAAAAGCCGCGTTACGTAATCTCATAAAAAATTTCGTCATTTATTGAGAGCATTTTTAAATCGTTTCCTCGTCTGCAAAAATAATTTACTGACAACACGTTACAATTTTACTGTAAAAACGTTACGCATTATTTCGAAAAAAGTAGAAGTGAATACAAAAATCCTGAAAAGAATTATGAAAACGGAAGGAGTACCCTAAAGATTTTCTTTCAGAATTTTGTGGAATTAATTTTGTTTAGTGTCAGAGAACAGTGTGGTGCACCTACGAGGCATGAGATGCATTCAGTCTACAATATATTGTAGAAACGGAAGTTAGAAAGTCAAAACGCTGATAGGGTTTTGATTTTTCTTGTCCACGGTGCACATTTCATATAGAAACTATAACAAGCATACCAGGACACAGGTTCAAGGTTCAAATTTGTATCATTCATCAAAGCAGTGTTCAGAGTGGGGAATTAAAATACGACCGTATTAAGAGTGAACATCACGACTTCAGAAGAGTTTTGTTTCTAACAAATTCACAATGGGTAAACAGGAAATAGAAATGTTTCGGGTTGCATTTCTAGTCGCGATTCTGTGTAATTTTGTGGGTGTCAGTGCAGGCTACATTTCAATTTTTGGACCTTGGTTTGATTCTTCGCCGTCTACGTCTTCAACTCCTTCGCCAACCAGTGAACCCAATGGGATGGCCCGTAGTCGTCAACATAAGTACACAATTACGGAAGAGCAACTCACTGCCATCAGGATAGAGTACATTAAAAACCAAATATTGAGGAAACTTCGACTCAAACATAAACCTTCTGTCTCCAAAGCTTTCCTGCCGAAACTGGTTATTGAAAGCAACTCTATATTGCCAAAAGTTCAGGATGACTCCAGCAACTTGTATTTCGACGATTTCTACGGAAAAACTACTCAAGCTGTTGTTTTCCCGTACGAAGGTACGATCAAATCATATTAGATCATATAATATCATCACATACTTGTCACATAGAAACGCAAACATTTTTTCACATTGATCTGCCCCCAAAAACTCAGAGCAAAACTTTTGGTATTTTTAAAATCACATTACCGTTCGTAACGCAATATTAATAATTTAGCGAAGTGAGATGTGATCGTAAAGTGACTACACAAAAGGTTACAAGGTCATCGATCACTCAACAAGGAAGTATATTGGCAAAAAAGAAATAATTGCATAACTCGTCACTTGTTTAAGATACTTATCCATAACGTAACTAAATGGTTACATTATGGATAAAAATGTCCTTTTTTGGAAAACGTGATTTCGAATTAATTTCACAACCGAAACTTTGCTTAGGGACGTCAGGAAGATAAAGAAATAATGGCCTTTCTGATGGTGTTTCGGTTCATTTAGAAATGATGATAGAGAGCAAAATCCCAGCATCAACTATCATAATCACGATTCATTATTCGCATTTTTTAACCAACAACTTGCATAGAAGATTAAGAAGGAATATTTCGCATCTTTCAGATGAAGCAAAGTGTGTCAGAAAGGTTCAGTACCCATCGGCATGCCTCCCATTTGTGTTACCAAAAGATGTTCATGCATCAGAAGTAAGCACTGCAGAGCTATGGGTTTACAAAAAGGCAGACAGTGAAGATATTCATAACCAAACATTCATAGTATCAGAAATAGCCCATTGGGATGCCAAAAAGAGTTTTCAAAAAACTACACCGATTTATATCAACCAAACCACCGTAACAGGTTGGTCATATACTCTTCGATTTTGCATTACTTATTATCGATGACAAGTTAATTAATTTTACTTTTCACTCTTCCACAGAGGGTTGGTTAACAATAGACGTAACACAAATAGTAAAAAATTGGTTAGATAATAAATCTAGTTTGACCCATGCCATAAATGTAGCATGCAAAACCTGTAGTAAGGACGTCGGAGATTCTCCAATTTCATTCAAACTGAACGACAAACCTTTCGTCGTCATCCATACTCATTCTCAGCAAAAAAGGACAGTCCACAGAAGGACAAAAAGGCATGTTAATTGTTATCCTGGAGTAACGGATTGCTGCAGGGAAAGTCTTTATATTTCTTTTGCTGATATAGGGTGGGACGATTGGATAATCTCGCCTAGCGGATATAACGCTTATTTCTGTAAAGGATCGTGCAATTCAGCAACCGCCAAGACGCTGAGTGCAAGCCAACATAACTCAATATTACAGGTAATTACTCTTACTATAACAGAGTCAGTTTCGAAAGGCGAAGTCCGCAATAAACAATTTGGACAAACGAAGAAAATAGCGAAATATGTTCTGACTAGTTTATTGATGTAGCCTTTCCAATTTAACTCGGGTATCTTTCAAAAATTCATATTTAATTCTCATTTATTTACATTCGATTATTTTCACTTATAAGTAGGTGAATGAATAATGATAAATTATGATACTGCATAAATATTTCGGTTAGCCTTCTGCGATAATATATTATACAAATGTAATGTAATTAAAATTTTGATAACATTTAGCCTTACCGAAGAAGCGTGTCTATTTCATTTACGATAATTACGCTTAAGAAAATAAAAAACTATATTTAAATTAATTTATTACAGAAACGCAGTATCTAAACTAAGTACCGCGAAATCTATTATGGAGTTGTTGAATTACATTTTTAATACTGTTACAATTTGTTCGTCACTAAATATCATGTAATAGTATTTTCCATTGTTTATTTCGCAGAAAGTTATGTATGATCCTAACAGAAATTCTGGGAATAGATTGGAACTAACGACATGCTGTGCTGCTACCCAATTTCAGCCTTTACAATTATTTTATATGGACAACAACAAAACAATTACATCAAAAATATTATCGAACATGATAGTTGAGACTTGCGGCTGTATGTGAGAGTCTTAGTGTGGTTTAATCGTTCTTCGTCAGTATTTTTAAATTAATTTAAATTTATTACCCACTACTCCATGCGCAGGATATGGACCTTCTGGTGAAGTTATTAGTGAAATCATGCTCATCGAGAGAAAAATCGCAAAATCTCTGGTTTTTATTAAAAGTATTAGATAATTTTTTCACATTAAATACAAACGTCTTATAATAAAATTAACTTAGAAAAGCGTCTTAGATTAAGTGTAGTATCGGGTAAAGTAATTAACTTATTGTTATCCTAGAAGGGCCAGAACTTTAAATGAGCCACGGATCATCTCAGTGAAAGCGCACCCATGATTATGATTTTTTTGGTATACAACCAAAAATAAATAGACATTTACTAGTCGTAATATCTACAGCTAGGACACTACCGGAATACCAGGAATGCCTTCTAGAAACGATTGTTTTTGTTTATTTTTGTATTGTTAGTNAATCTTTATGAAAATATATCGTTTAAAGAAGGAAGTATGGGGTAAAAAAAATTTCCATTACTTAATGTTGGTTATATTAAGACTGGCAATGGTTTAATTGTAGTAGTAATGAAAAATAGTAAAACTCCAATTGTTCTTTATTGGTCAGTAACAACAGAAAACGTGTTAACACAACGGGAGCTTCTTAGGAACTAAATTTTTAAAATGTACAAAAGTCTCTGCAGCCTCCTTAGGGCCATAAAACCCAGATGTGGCCTAAAAGTGACCTCGGCAATACGAACAGATATTTCTACAAAACTAAACTCATATCGTTGATTTCCAACACTTAACACTGTTTAGAGCAAGCAGTTGTTTATTTTAAACTTTGTCCACGTTGCTGAGAGATATTAAAACTATTTCCTATCATTTAACCTTTGATCGTTACCTCAGTAAGCGTGTTTTTATGTTCTCGTTTTTCTAAATAGAGGAAAAATTCCCCACTGTCCTCAATAATAAGGTGAGTTAGTACAGTCTACTTGCAATCAATAAAAGACTTAGATATTTAGAATAACTTCTATATTTTCAACTATTTTTTTTACATTTTTGGAATGCTCGTCAATTATTTATTCTACTCTAATATGCTATACATTTTTTTAAAGTCTCGTTTGAATAAGTTAACAATTTTCGTATTAATAAGAAGAAGGCGTGCATTTCAATGGAATAGTCATTTTGATCGATTGATTGGGATCCTTTTGACTGAAGTCTGGATTGGCTCCGCTGTCAATTTGCTTCATCCAAAGGTCACTTATGTGATTCTTGGTAACACAGTGGACATCAACGGTTTTGGTGATACTCTTTGCAACCTTGCAGCCTCTTTGGCAGACAGGTATATTACGTGTCGTGAAACAGACTTGGTTACTTCCTGGTTGTACCATATATCGCGTTTGATGTTTGTAACATGTCGACGTTGAACCTGGAGCTGATGATTCAGTTCGATCGCCATCGCGTTGAGAGACGTAGTTGCCGTAGATGACTTGGCGTCTGGCGCATTTTCCAGAACCTTGCTGCCGGCCTTGAGCCTGGTTACCAGAGAGGGTGTACTGAGCAACGAACTGTTGGGGATTTCCAATAACACAATTTTCAGGATCTGTGAAGTCTTCCGCCATCATTCCCGTGAAGGTGCCGCAAAGGCCGCGGAGGTGACCACGGAATCTGTCGTTGGTTACTGATACCTTCATCGTGGATCCATCGTAGATAATGTAGAAGGCATTTCTAATTTCTAATTTAGTTTCTCCGTTTGGTAAAGAGTACAATTCCACTAGTCCATCTTCAGCCGATGATACCTCCTTATCGTTGTAGTTTATTTGTTGCTTGTTGATGGTTACTCTGGCAGCTGGTTTTCCTCCAGTTGGGATCATTTCAATTTCGACGGGTTTTTGGTCGTTTTCAGGGGAGCGGACTAATATCTTGATTTCCTTATTGTTTTGGTTACCACCTTTAGAGCGAACCAAAACGACGTACTGTTCTTCACGTAATTCATTCTGGAGTTGTTGAAGTCTCAACTGTTCTTGTTGGTTGTAGTGTTGTTTCGAAGAAATGCGAGGTTCGTAGAAGTACACAACTGACCATGCGTCCTTGAATTGAACAGGATACGAAGTATTGTCGAAAGTGGATACGTATTGATGGTCAAGTACACAAGATGCTAAAAAAAATAATTACACGTTGAGTTCTGAATAATTTAGTAAAGGATTCGGGAAAACTTACGTCTGTAGGTGCTGTATTGTAAAAGATGTCTCATAATTCTTTCTTTTACTGAGAATACAGGGTGAACGGCTACAAGAGGTTTCAACCAGTTCGCTATGGGGAGTCGTTCGTACTCGATTTCCTTCTCGGGAGTTGTGATGGTAACGTTAGCCATTTGGAAGTCGGGATAGAAGTCAACGTGTACGTTTGTTTTTCGTTCTGAACCCTGTTTATTGTATGTGACGTTTTTGTATTCTCCGATGTTGAGATCAATCGTATCTAATATTAGTTGCATGACGCCCAAAGTGCTGTCACTCAAGTGTTGATATTCAATGTTTGCATATAAGGTATCCATCGTGTTACTTTGGGTTGTAAGAGCAGCCCATGTCTTCGGATACATAGTGTCTAAACCATTTTCTGCCTTGCTCCTTTTCAGTTCGTATTCAGCGTTCTTCTTCATGTATGCGATTCTACGTTGACTCTTCTTCATTTGTACGTTTACGTTTATCTTTTCTCCGGATTGAATGTCTTTACCGAAAGCAGCTTGAACTTGGAGAGTAGAAGTAGGATCAAAGTTCAACGCGTATTCGAAGTTCAAACCGTTTGTGTTGGGGAATTTACCTTGGGCCATCAAAACTACTTGGTTTGGTTCTTGGCCTGATTGAGGAACTGGTTGTTTTTTGTAGTAGAATAAACCGCGGACTTTCTCATCGACTGGACTAGCTGCAACAGCAATGGTTGTGGTGAATTCAGCAGTGTTTTGCCCTATAAATTGGATGTCAGCGTCAGCCACGTAGATCCTGGGACTATGTATTCCCGATGAAACCTTCTTGTAGAAGTCGTTAAGCCTTTCTTGGGGCTGTTTAGGTGTTTGAGCAATGGTATTGAAATCGACAGAGTCTCCACCAGTTGGTTTTTGGTTTCCTCTTATTTTAGTGGTCAGTTTTAAGGCGAGGTTCATTTTCATTTTCTTGTTTTGTGATTCATTTCCTTGGTATTCAATGTTGAATCTTCTGTGGTCGGTAGGAAGTTCGTAGTAGTTGTTGATGAGTTCTTCCATACCTCCTTCCTTGAACAGATTATGCAAATTCCATTTGAATTCTGGTTTTCCTTCTTCCCAGTGTTGATGTACTTTGAATTTCATTCCAGAGTTTTGTCCGTATACGTCTTGGCGCTCAACTAGTCCTTGGTTGTGAATTTTTGTGTTTTCAATTTCCATCAAAGGTTTTCTTAGTTTGTAATCGCTGTGGGAGGTGTACGTGTATGTAGAGTACTGTAAAATGCGAATATTTTTCTCAGGTTCTTTCATTTGAACTTCCACGTTAAGCTGTTTCTGTTTTGTGTCGAAATGAGATTTGAAAACAAGAGGAGCATAAAGTTGTAGGTTGTCATCGTTTCCGGCGGTATAGTAGTGTCCATCGAATTGCGTTAAGAAACCATAACGGGCTTGTACTTTTCTTGCAACGGTTACTCTTACATCTGCGTTGAAACTGACGGAGTCTGGGATGACAATGTTTTCACCAGAGACTAATTGAGGTTGGACAGTGCCAGTTATTTGTCCGTCTATTTGAACTAGAAGAGGTTTGTTCAGTCTGTAGTAGAATATGAAACCCATGTCCATAGGGAAACTTGCAATCATCTTTCTGTTATCGACTATTTTAGTGTTACCAAGTTTAATACCGGCGCGAAGATCTTGTTCGAGTTTCTTCAAATCTAAAATAAAATACGTTTAGTTTATTCCGTAATTTTTGTAATTATACGTTTACCTTGAAGTTTTTCACGGATTGTAACGTTGTTGAAAGAATACATTCCACTTAAACCGTACAGTTGGTATCTCAATAATCCTTCTAGTTCTTCCCTTTGTTGAGGATGCATGTTCATTATTTTAGCAATACTTTCTGCAGTGAATTCTCCTCCTGTGGACTGTTGCGGTTTGGATTCATCTTTGATTAAATCGGCGATTTCATCGACTAAATCGCCTACGCTAGAGACTTTAGCTTTCAAAACTGCAAGAGGTTGCATGAATCCTCCGGTGTATGAGCTCCATGAGTAGTACATTGCTTTCGGGATGACTTTGTCGTTGCTTCCAATCCAGCTAACCGTTTGTTGATACAAATTGTCCAAGTCTTCTTGTTCAAAAGAGTCGATATGTCCTTTTGAATATTGTTGTCCGTATTCTTTGCGTGTGAGTAAGGGTACAGCTGCCCTAGCGTTTGTGCGACTGGAAAAAGAGGAGAAAACAATAAACAATTAAATATATTATTTAGTCGAGCAAAAACTTACTGATAAACGTATCTCTGTCCTTTTAAGTTGGCGCTACTCAAAATCATGGATTTTACGGCAGAGTTTACTTGCTCGTTTGGATCATAGTTGGTGAATAAAGCCATACGTTGCAGCATGCTTCTTGGCGGTTTTGTTAATATCAAATTGTAAACAGAAGCGACCCTAACGTCTTCGTGTTCTCCGATGTTCTGGTAAATTCTGTAGAGTACACCCCGTACACCTTCTGGGTCAGTCTTAGCCAAAAGTCTTAAAGAGTTGACCATATAAGTTCTTTGGAATTGGGTGATGACATGTTGTCCTTCAAGGTATGGTTCATAGATTTCCAAAATCTTCCTGTGCCCAACCATACCGATAGCGGTTATGTAAGTGTAAATTTTTCGGTTGTCAGCGTGAATGACGGCGTTTTGGAGTTTGTGTCTTAAGTAAGGAATGTACTCATTGATAACGAATTGTTTTCCGGAGTCTGTATCGAATTTGCCGAATGTGTGGACTGGGAATTTATTATGACTGTTTCTTTGATGCATGTAAACATCGTTGACGAGACGGGAAAACGAGATGACGGAACTTACATTAAGATAATCTTCTTGTTCTACTTCCGGTTGCGAAATCATGCCGAAGAAAGCTTTGATGTATTCGTAGGTTGGTTGGACAACAGATTGGCTCATGCGTTCTACTACAATTGAAGCTTCCCTTCCGACAAGCTTCCTGTTTTTGATCCAGTATTGGATGGTAAGGAATGCGGGACCAGTACCGGCTTCAGCAACTGCATCGCGGAAGACCTTCCAAGTTTTGGCAGCAGGACCTTCTTGTTCAGCGGTGTACAGTTCATTTGAGATTTGTTGCAATTGCTTATCATCGAGTGATCTTAATATGTGAGTTAAGAGAATTTGCTTCTCGAGGGTGTGATGTTTCTGGAGCATTTCAGGATTGACAAGTTCTTGTCCAATTTGTCTTGCAAGCTCCCTGACAGCCTGAGCTGAACTTTCTTTAACCTGTTGTTGAGATGGGAATTCGGCAATGAAGGGAGGTAATTGCAGAGGTTCATTAAGTTTAGGTTTGGTATATAGTTGCTCGTCTGAACCTAAAGAACGGGAGTTAGATTCTTCACTGGATTCGCCACTGTTGTTTTCTTTGGTGCCGTCGCGTTGAGAGTAATCTCCGTAGTTGTATACTAAACTTCCGATTGATTTCATACCGGATCCATCACCAGGCATTGATGTTGACGATAGTACCTCTTTCAATTTTAATGAAAATTTGCTTTCAACTCTGCCATAAAGTTTGTCAGAAAGTTCCGACTGAAGCATAATCCTGTTGGTAGACGTAACTTTCTCGATGGTATATCGTTGGAGAGTGCCAGAGATGATGGCCCTTGATACTCCGGTTCTTATGAAGTGTTGTCCCAATGTGTTGCTGGCAGGTCCCTTTTGTTTGGAATCGCCGTTGTCGTAAAATCCGTAATGAAATCCTGGACGATGTTCGCTGTTGGAGTAGTTGCGGCTTTTAGTGACTTCGTAGTACCTTTCTACACTTCCGTGATGAGGTAATGACTCCCTCCAGTTTTCCCATTGTAGCAAGTATTCGGGATATTGTTTGATTTCGTATAAAGTTTCCGTATTACCAGTGATGGTCTTTTCCATTGTTTTGAAGACGGCAAAATCACTTCCTTCCTTTGGCAACTGATTTAACCTGCTTTCGATTACGTTCTGTCCGAGGGTGTCTAGTTGGATTTGACTCACAATGCCCTTGATCATTTTCACTTCCCATGATGGCGTATTCTGCATGACTAAGACGTCGTGTACAACTCCGTCTTTCATAACAATTTTAAAGGGATTGTTAGACATCTGCATAGGTTTGTAGCTAAGTTGAGAGTCCGGAATATCGGAATCCCAACCTCCAAACAAATGCGAATGAACCTGAACCATTTGGACATCGGTCATTTTTGCCATGAAATTGTCATTTCCTCTCGGTGATAGGTGGAATTTGCCTTTCAGAAACACTCCAGTAAGCTCCTTCGATCCGTCCTCGACACCGCTAAGGGTGCGAGTTCTAAAGGTGTAGACGTATTCTGCATCATTTTTCCAAGCAGTGCTTGTCAACAAGGCAAGAGCTATTGCAAACGAAAAAAAATAAAATTAACCTACTTATATATAAAAAACGATTTTAATGATTTAAGTACATATTTCGTGCGCTGTTCTCGCGAATTTATAAAATCGACCATTTATAATTAGAGAACTGTTTTGTAAACACCATAAATCTAAATTTTTTTCATCTGTACCTATAGTGTATTAATTTTATCTCGCCATTAATTATCTTAGAAGAGAGCCAATGAAAATGTAAAATCCAACAAACAATTTCAATTTAATTAGAAATAAAATAAACAAAAGCTTGAAGAAAAGCGTTTGTTAAAATGACTCAAAATTACATTGGAAAAACTGAAAAACACTCGGTTGCAGTGTATTGGATAAATGAGAATTAGAAAAATAAATTTTAGTTGTAAAAACAAGCAATTTGATAAATTTACTTACCCGTTATGAAAGCCAACTTGAGCCATCCCATGGCGAACAACTGACAACACACGGTGGTTGAAGAGTTTATATACAAGATTTATTGCTAACGTTAGCAACTTCTTCGCTACTGATTAAGTTAACGCAAAAATTCTTTATCAACTTTACGTGTATGATGCGAAAATTATTACAAATTATATAATTTTAGTTATTATTTTAACAATGTTGATACATAGCAACAAAAAAGTGAATTCTATTATTACAGTCAACTTATTAAAAAAAAAAAAAGAGNATAACTACATAAAACACTTAACAAGCGTACGTGGTAGTTTTAAAACCAGACATGTTTTTTTTAATTACGTTTTGTAGTAAAAAAGTAAGTGCAATAAACATTTCGTAATTGATCGAAGATGTTATTAAAAAGTAAAAATCAAATAAAAAAGCACATAAAGTGAATGCATGTATATAACCCACCTATTCATATATTTTATGTCGGTTTAAGATGGATATTTATTTTTAGAAAGCTTTTAATCTATTTCTGGGGGTCAACACTTTTGCGAAGTTGTTGATAAATATTAGGGTCTTCTTAAATTTTCTAGTTACTGATTTATATGCTCATATTACACGATATACAACATCAAGGAGCCACTAATTTTAATCAGCCAGCCAAGGTTTGCATTCATCTCACAAATAATTGCTACGAAAACAGAAAATTAACTAATACAAAAATAAAATCACTTATATGCATATTATTTTCTTTAATAAGCTTTTGCCTAACATGCAGAACTAAAATGCTAAAATATTTTTTATAAAACACGCCGTACACAAATAGATACATAAAAGTTTAATTAAAAGAGTGTGTAAAAACAAACGCCCTGTGTTGTTCTAACGTAAAAACTTTAGCTTTATGATAAAAAAATAAATAAAAGTTAAATTAAATGGGTAGTTACGTTAAAAACACACTGTGTTGTCGATAAAGTTATTAACAAATCGAATAAACAATTGACAGACACTCTCAAGTGCACATTTATGCTTAGCCAAATATTTGATTTGCCGCTTTTCCGCATCTTATCAGATAAAAATAATGAAATTATGACGTCCTCTGGTGTGAAATTGATATTGTCGATAATTCGATTAGGTGCAGCATATGAACCACGTTAAATTTAAAAATATTGAGATAAAACAGCATTTGTGTATTTATTTTATTTAAGAATGAAAATGAATTAAATTTTGCGAAGTAGATGTTTGCAAGTCAAAAATAGAATGTAGCTGAGGGATTTCTATTTAATGGCGCCAGAGAGAGAGCGTTTTTAAAAGTATCTGCGAGCATTAAATGAAAATATTTGCCTCTTGATGCGCAGAATTATCTAAATTACATCACCTATTATCACGAACATATTGAATCCCTATTCCTGATAGGATGTTGCACACAACCTGGATAAAGCGTTCATAGATACATACATATGTACATGTATTTTGAGAGCGTCGTAATATAGACGCCAGAACCTGTTAGCTTAAATGCTATTTCATCCTGATCAAGTCGCTCTTTAGCCACGCATAAAGACGCGTCAATAAGTCCTTGGGGATAACAAGGGAAGTGCTTTTTAAATGATTTTATGTAATTGACTTGTTTTTTTCTTTTCACAATGATCTGGCTTTCGTTAAGCACAGTCCTTTACGAAGTGAACGAATACGAGTATGAAGAAGATTACGAATATAATTTTAGTGAATCTCATTCTACATTCTACTGGGAAGAACTTTTGCCTACTGTTCTAGTTTATGGCGTTACCTTACTTCTAGGATTAACTGGGAATTCTTTAATAGTGTTTACCACTTACAGATACAGAAGGATGCAAAGTTCTACAAACGTTTTACTAGCAAGCTTAGCTTCGGCTGATCTACTTCTCATCATCTTCTGCATACCTGTGAAGGTACATGTTAAAATTTGATGTTGTGAAGTTAATGTGCAGTTTATTTGGTCGCCCTGTATAAAGTAGTTTTGCTAAATTGTAATATTAGATGGCCTTTTCGCTAATTTATCTATGAAAGTTCATTTCTTTATCAAATAAAAAGTGCGGTTGCCACTTTGTTCTTATTCAGCTGATTAAGATTGCAAAACGTATTTCTGCATATTCGCGCAAATTTCACGTTAAAGATTCGATCAAAATGATACACATTAATTAAATCGAACTGAATTAATCAATGTGCTATGTTTTGCTATCATAATTAGTAATGTTATATTATGCAATAATGTATAGAAGTAATAATTTTTAATATGCCATTATNGTGTTGTCGATAAAGTTATTAACAAATCGAATAAACAATTGACAGACACTCTCAAGTGCACATTTATGCTTAGCCAAATATTTGATTTGCCGCTTTTCCGCATCTTATCAGATAAAAATAATGAAATTATGACGTCCTCTGGTGTGAAATTGATATTGTCGATAATTCGATTAGGTGCAGCATATGAACCACGTTAAATTTAAAAATATTGAGATAAAAAGCAATTTGTTTAGTACATAAATAAGCACTTAATTTAACGATAAAATCCTACTATGTAATAAATAAAAAGTGATAGATACATTAATTATTATAATAAGCGCAAGCATTAACACTGAAGCACATTATTTAATTATCTATTAAGCATATGAAAATTTACGCTTATTAATTAATATGTACAATGTACATATAATATTCAAGTATTTAATTGCGATGCGGTCTGAATTTGTAGAACGAGTGTTTATACAATTCCGACTCGATTCAAAGTCTTGATAACAACGTTTTAACGAAATAGTTAGTTTTAGGTTCGTCTTGGAGCTATTTTTAACTTTTATGTACAACTCCAAGTGCTATCAGAAGAAATAAATTAATTCCAGCAATAAAAATTGGAATGTTATAGGTTCAATACGATGCGATGCGACGCGATCTAAAAGTCATGTCGTTAACATTAAAGCCCTTTGATACGAACTGAATATATTTTTTTATTTTTAAAAAGCTTGTTTTCTTTTGGTTTGCTCTGAGAATTAAACTTTTGTTTCTCCATTTGTTGCAGGTTGCCAAACTTTTTTCGTACACATGGGCCATGGGGGCCTTCCTTTGTAAAACTGTACATTACATGCAGAATGTTTCTACAATATGTTCGGTCTTGACATTAACCGCAATTAGCATTGAAAGGTGAGTTACGAAAGAAAAATATTTCAAAAACAGTGCATCTAACGTTGAGTAGCTGTATAGCTACTACTGAGTTACTTATTTTCCTTTTAATTTCTAAAAAAAAAAAGGAAATCTAGGCGAACACGTGTTATTCATCAGATACAGTTAGTTCGAAAAGTGTTTTGACTTCAGATATCTTATGGCATAGGAATATACCACGTATGCAGATGTATGTTACATTTAACGTGATGTATCTTTTTTTAGGTATTACGCTATAGTGCATCCCATGAAGGCTAAATATATTTGCACTATCAGTCAAGCTAAGAAAATTATTATACTTACGTGGATGGTATCGTTTTTGTTAGGCTTACCTATACTTTTTGTTCAGGTAAACCCGCAAAAAAAAAAAAACCACGTTATCTTCACCTATACGAAATCAAAAATGCGACTAATCTTAAAACAAACCGATAACTAAACTTTTATCAAATTAATAACAGTCAAAGAGCCCTCTAATTATTTAATTATTATAACATAATCCCAATTTATTTAACGATAATTGGATTATCTTTTCATCCCCTAAAATTCCCAGAACATCGACTATAACACTTTTAAGATAATAATGGAACATGAATTTTAGATTCAAATGCCAGTAGGTGATAAGAACAAAGCGTACTGGTGCGTTCGAAATTGGGACAACATTTCTCTTTGGAGATTTAACGAAATATATATATTATTATTGGTTTTTATTTGTCCATCAATAATTATGAGTTTTGCGTATTCCTTTATATGCTGGGAAGTATGGAGAGTCATGGAGAGACGATCTATTATGACCAGCAGAGATGCGTAGGTTTATCACAATATAATAATTAATGGAATATTTAGAATTAATTTTCAACGACTAACGTTTAACTTGATTATATTACTGCTAATACAAGCTTTCTGACGCCTCCATCAAGCCGTTTTGGGAAATTCCCCCCGTTCTAACGTTTCATTGTTCTTACTTAGCCGATGGTATTTTCAATGGTGACTTGGCCGATACTCAGACGTAATGTTTCAAGTCTCCACTGGAGATACCATGAGGGAAGAATGGCGAAATGTTTAAAAAAGAAGAATTCGAATGCCTCTTACTTATCATAGTTTTTAAAAAATTTATGAGGTGTTTAATTTTAGACTGTCTTCAAAACATTCGACTCACTGTAAGCAACTAGAAAGTTTTCATTTGACAGAATCTTCGAAAAGATCTGAGTACAAAATTAGAGCTTATAGAGACGATACGCGTATGGTAAAACAAGTGATTTATATGTTAGTGACTGTTGTGGTGTTATTTATTGTATGCTGGGGACCAGTATTAATTGATAACGTTTTAACTGCTTATGGACAACTGCCCATACAACGGACAGGAAATTTGAAATATATGGCCACAGCGTTTCATCTAATGGCGTACTTTAATAGGTAAAACTTGAATCAATAAAGGATTTTGTAAAGAAATCGAAACATGGTTGCCATAAATTTGTTTCATTTCAGTTGCATAAATCCTATAATCTACGGTTTTATGTCAAAAAATTTCAGAGAAAGCTTCCAATTAGCTTTGTGTTGTAAACTAGAGCCTCGATCAACAAAAATACGTAGCAGTAGAATGGTTAGCAGTTTCCATAGGATCTCTAGGTCTGGTTCTCAAACAAGGACAACGTCCCTTAGATAATAATTTTTAAAACAAATTAAACGAAATGTCTTTGACCTCGTTTACTATATTACTACAAATTTTAAACTGAGAGCCTTTTCAGTATTACTTATAAGTATTTATTTGAATAAAAAATTAAGGAATTGGTCTGTTTTGCTCTATCTTATACAAATTAATCTGATTACTTAAAAACGATCCCCATTATTATTATCAATACTATTGAAAAGGATAATATATCCATTCCAAATAGTCTCAATTTACAAAAAAGTTGTGTAGAATTTGATGGTGAAAACGAAATATTGATAAAAATTAATATAATAGAACAGTAATACATTTAAATCAGTAGTCAGACAAAAATGCGCTCGTAAAGTTTCGGTAGCTAGAAAAAGAGTTGTGGAAGATTTAAATAGCTATACAAGTATAGAAAATTACGAAGAATTTAATGGTGCAAACAGAATTATAATTGAAGTCGACAATAAAAAGTTAGAGTCAATCAAAGATTTAATTAACGCAAAAAAGCGCTCGTAAATTTTTAGTGTGATAGACACGTTTTTGCCGTTTCACAAATGAAAATTACAAAAATAAATGCAATGAATTTCATAAACAAACGCATTTTAACTTTAAAATGTTTATATGAATGCAATAAATTCAAAAGGATGCCTTTACTTTGGTTATCATTACAATTCATCTTCCAGATCATAAAATAAATGTATTCTTTTTATTACATTTCAATAGAAATTATAATCTTTTTTCATTTTAACAAAAATTCCCACAATCATTATTTTCTTACTTTTCACCCTTTTTACAGTATCTATTACTTTTTCAAAAGTTTTTGGTTCCTTTTTTTAGCGCATGATCCTGAATGTTGTAATTACACTAGCGGTAGAGTGAGGAGTTGGCTATGGTTGAGTTTCTAACCTATAACACTTCCATTATAAATTTATGATGATTATTTAACAGTAAATGAATTGTAATATTGAACAGTATCCCTCTTTGTTTTAGTAATATTTCAGTAAATAGTTATTATTAGTGCTGTGCTTCTAAGATACTTATTTTCTAGGTTGTAACTGTTACAAAAATGGTTAACCTTTATTCTGATGTAAGTGTTAATAAACTGCCTGCTTCTAATTATGAATTAAATGTTACTTGAAATGTTTATTTTTAGTCTGTTAAATATCTTTCACTGATACCCTTAACGATTGTGTTCATCATACTGTTAATTGTTCTAACTAAGAAACGCAATCGTAAGCAAGGAATACCTCAGGAGGTAATGCAGTTATAACAGTACAAATATTTGGAATTACTTTCTGCGTTTTAGGTTATTGAAGAAAGAATTAGAAACTTTCAACCAAAACCCCTCATTGATCCTGATAATATTGTAAATGATAATACTTTAGAAAGACTTCAGCCAAACGAGGTACAATTATCTGTTTTGCTTAAATGTATAATTGTAAGTGACCTTGATCGTTTTAGTCTGACCCTGACTGTTTAAATTTAGTAAAGGTAAACTATTATTGCTTTCTTGATAATTTGGATATTCGCAGAAGTGCAGAAACATGCATTAAGAAGTATGGAGTTGGTTCTTGTGGCCCTAGAGGTTTTTATGGTACAATAGGTACTAATAATTATAATTTAACATTTACATATCCCTAGTTTGAATTTAATTCTATGTTTAAGACATTCACCTCCTATTAGAAGATCGTTTAGCTAAATTTATGCAAATGGAAGAAGCTGTACTTTACTCATATGGTTTTTCAACTATAGCAAGTGCAATAGGTGCTTACTGCAAAAAATCTGATTATATATTTGTGTACGTTATTATTTATATAAGCAGGAATTCATCATTTATAAAGTTAATTATTTTAGAGATGAAAATATAAGTTTTTGTGCAAAGCAAGGATTACTAGCAACTAAAGGCAGAGAAATCTATTTCAAACATAATGATGTTAATGATCTGGAAGCTAAAATGCACTCCATAAGTCAGTTGGAAGATAAAGACAAAAATGTAACTTGTACTATTTGTTAATGGCCCCACAAAGATTACTTTCATTTAATTTATAGCAAAAGAAAAAGATATTTAGAAAATTCATAATAATTGAAGGTATTTATGGTGCTACAGGTCAAATTTGTCCCCTTCCTGAAATTTTAACATTGTGCAAGAAATACAAGGTCCGCATCTTTATTGATGAGACCTATTCTTTTGGTGTATTAGGGACAACTGGAAAAGGAGTGACTGAACATTTTGGTGTTGATGTAAGACTAGTAGTAGTAGTATTTTTCTTAAATTAAGTCTTACTAAAACTATTTTAGAGATCTGAAGTAGATATGATAATGGGAAGTTTGGAAGGTGCTTTAGGTTCAATAGGAGGCTTTTGTGTGGGGGCGTCAGTCATCATAGAGCATCAAAGACTGTCTGGTCTTGGTAACAATTTAAATTAAATATTATTATTTTTTTTTATGATAATTTTCACCCTTAAGGTTACTGTTTTTCTGCATCTTTGCCACCGTTCCTGTGCCAGGCTTCCTTATGTGCCTTAGACAAATTAGAGCAGTGTCCAGAATATATTTCAACTTTGAAAGACGTCTCAGTTTCTGTTAATAATGCATTATCCAACTTGAAAGGATATACTATCCTTAATTCTGATATCTCACCTGTTAAGGTGTTGACTTTATCCAAAAGCTTTTCACGTGAAGAAAGAATCAGCAATGTTAATAAAATATACACATATGTAAGTTGTAAAATAACTTGCTGAACGATTTATATTTAATTTCCTGTATTGTAGTGCGCACAAAAGGGTTTATATTTAGACCTTGTTGATATGGGTTTGAGATTACACTGCCACATGCAAATGCCAGACCCAGCTATCGATAGAATTAAAGATACACTAAGTGATGCACTGAAAATTATTTAAATAATGTTATAAGTAACGCTACAAAGTTGCATCACATTATAATCATTCCTGTTGTGTTCATCTTATTTTTTCTTTTTTTCGTGTTACTTCTGATCGTGTTCAGAATTAGAGTTTAAAAATGATAATGTTTATTAGTAATGTTTTGTTTTATGTTTTAACTAAACGTTCGAATTAATGTTACATGCGTTCTCAAGTTAATAAATAAAATGTTTGAATTATAGATTGTTCTTGGCTGCTAACTTTACGTGTATGATGCGAAAATTATTACAAATTATATAATTTTAGTTATTATTTTAACAATGTTGATACATAGCAACAAAAAAGTGAATTCTATTATTACAGTCAACTTATTAAAAAAAAAAAAAGAGAAAATTAATTTAAAAAGTAGTAACAGTAAGGAAAATGTTATTAATAATATATTTCAATGATGAATATACTGTTTACAGAGTGTTCTTTTTACTTTGAAAATACTTTCTAGTTAACTAAAGTAGGTATATTTTTAAACGGTTTCTTTTTGTGTTAATGTATAAAAGTCAATCACAAATACGTAGGTACAGATAATATTCGTTCATTATTAACATTAAGGGCTGTAGTATGTATAGGGTGGTTCATNATGCATTCTTACGTACGTTTTGAAGTAAATAAATAAGCTGTATAAATAATAAATTGATTTATTTGTTTTTGACTAGTTAATAACGTAAATTAAAACAAAAATTTTTATTAAACAAATGTTTACATTTACCAAATGCTGCATTTAATAGGAGGGTTCATACGAGATCCTGTAGGACAGTGATATGCATCAGAAAACTCCTGGAAATTACTGAGAGTTCCAATTACTCTAAAAGGTTTTTATGCAAGATTAATTCATACAATATATGTTAAATATTATATAATTTTACCGATATCTCCCAGGGGAATGCACTGCTGTTTTAAGCTTATTTCTGGCTGCTTCTGGTCGTGTAGATCCACACCAAACCTTAAAACTTGCTGTTAAGTATTTTTTACAATATGAATGTTTAAAGTGTTTATTAATTAATGATTAAGTATTATTTTTTGCGACACCCTGTATATAATTTTGAATAGATTCCATAGAAAATATCACAGAACTAGCTGTGGTCCGTCAAGTGGCGCCACCACACTGTTTGTTTGTTTGAACTAATCGTGAATCAAATTTTCAACGCGTTGATAAATTTACTAAATTATGTGTCCTTACCTGTGCGAAATTAAGGAAAAACAGTTGCTTTCCATTCAAATTAATTCCCGGAAGTGTTTCGTTCGCGTCTGGATGCTTGGCCAACCATGCTTCGTATGCCTAAAGGTAGGATTTAAAGTTTTTTTTTGAACGTCCATTTTACTTTATTTTTCCGTAATGGCAACACAAATTTATATAATTAACACGTTATAATTGATTTAAAAAACTTTAACATGTATTACCTTATAAGACTGCTTAATTCCTCCATTATCAGCGATATTTTCGCCTTGTGTATTTGTACCATCAACAGGTAAATTCACTTCTGGGATTATGAAATTATTGTATTGGTCTGAAAATATTCAAATCACTTATTGTTATTTACGATTATTTGTTTAATTGATTGTCACCTACCAATTAAACATTGCGTTCTAAGGTGGAAACTAATTATTGCGGATTCCGACCACCACTTTTGCAAATTTCCTTCCTTATCAAAGAGTCTACCTTTATCGTCAAACCCATGAGTTATTTCGTGTCCAATGACTACCCCAATTCCTCCGTAATTAAGAGAACGAGGGAAGTACTTTTGGTAAAAAGGGGGTTGCAAAATTCCTGCAGGAAACACTGCAAACATGTGTGAAATATTTACTTAAAGTTTAAACAATTTCTTCCTAATAGCTTACTAATTTGATTTTTATTTCTGCTGTAATATGCGTTGACCACAGCAGGTGCTGTGTTCCATAAATTTTTATTTACAACAGTTCCAAGCCTTTTTTGCTCCACTCGAGTTAAATGCTAAAAGTTTAAGTTCATGTACGGCACTTAGTCCATTGTTTCCTTTTTAATCTTAAACCTTTGCTTACCCTCAAGATACTTAAGGTGTTTTCGAAATAAAGATCAGGGTGAACTTTAACATCCATATAACGTTCTGCTAATTGATTTCTGTCTAAAATGAAGTCTGGATATCCAATTTTTAGTCTCATTGCGTCTATTTTATATTTGGCTAACTTCTTTGTGTCCGAATCGAGCCATAACGTATCAGCCAAAATTTCGCGAAAAGCATCTTGAATTTCTTTGGTCATTTGTAAAGTCTTAAATACATAGAAAAAAATAAAAACGTTTATTGATAAGCACAATTTTCTTACGTCATTTTTGCTGTTTTCATCAAAATATCTTCTAACGAACATGTTTCCGAGGGCCATTCCCATATTGGAATTGACTTGGGTAACACAAGTCTGCCATCTTGATGGAGCCCTTTCACGGCCAAATAATATAAAGTAGAACCTAGAAAACCCATTATTTTGTGAATTTAAATTTCAGTTTCATGATTTTAAACACTTACCGTTGTTTCGCTTCTTGAAAGCCCCTTCCCAAATTGTTTACCCTGTGTCTAACGAATCTCCAAATGATATAATTGGAAACAGTTCTAGAAAGCAATACATGTTAAAATATTTCATTTCAATATTACCTCATTATCACCTTCTTGGCGTTTTGCTTAATAGTATCACCAAATTCTGTAAATATTTAATAGAATAACAGACCAACGGCTGAGTAGGTTCTATGTGACCCCCAGATACTATTTTAAAGTATTTCATCCAGTTTATTTGCGGTATGTAAGCGTGTAACTCCCCAATTGTGAGTCTTTTATAAATTTCAGTAACATTTTTTCGAAAATCTGGTGGTGCTATAATCTTTCAACATCAAATAAATAATTTAGAAGCACGAAGTTAATCTTTAATTGGTAAGTACCTGCGCCAATTTTGTTTCAAAATCGATTATATCCTCAGCATCTTCAGTTGCCTTTGCTATCGGTGCTCCGAGAAGTGTTGCTATAGATATCATGTAATTTTTGTAAGCACTTACGTACTTGAAGTTAATCGGGTCTAAGAAATAATCCCTTGTTGGAAGTCCCAAAGTAGTTTGGTCGATCTGTTTTATTATAAAATTGATTAAAATTTAGGGTTGCAATAGATATGTTTTTATTATACTTGCAAAACAAACTCGTTAGAGTTCTTTATATCAGGTCCAACCCATTCGGATATAAGAATATCGTTGTTGTAAAGCCTTAGTTGTCCTACTAGCCATATCCAATCGAAGTGGGTTTCGTCCCAGTTGGAGTCAATCATGGGCCAACTCCCTAAGCGTTTGAGGAGTTCGTGTAACGGACGGCTCCCTCGTTTCTCTAGCAAATCTAAAATAATAATTATTTATTAAAAATAATATGCGAAAATCGCTCTTTTGCTTATACCTAAATTCATGCAAGATTTATAGAGATATTTTGCTTTGGTTACAGCGTCATTAACACGGAAGGGTGTCATATTAGCGATAATATTTTCGTTTGATAAAATGGAAGGAATATCGAGAGGTAGATATGATAACCTTTTAGATGTCACGTTATTGTTACTTGCATTCCAAATTTTTGTTTTTTTCAAATCAGAGTCCTGCAAAATCGAGTTTGTTTAATGAATTAGTACAAGAATAAAATTATTGATTACGTCATCTCCGTCTTCTTCCTCTAACAGTTCCTTTAAAACCGAGTCCAAATTTTCGCGTAGCATTTCAAAGGTATCAAACACTGTTCTATCGGCCGGTATAGGGTTGTATTTCGCCCAATTTCCACATGCGTATTGATAAAAATCGGTACAAGGGTCTTCCTTTTCATCCATGAAACGCTTCATTAAATTTGCTACACAGTAATTATGAATCTATAACAGTTGGAGAAACTAATTAAATAATTATTTATGTATTACGTTACCTTGAGCTGTTCGTATTTTATCTTTAGTTATCTTAGTTGTCCAAAAATTTTGATGGTGACTCTTCTGATTTTGTTCTTGATGTTGATTATCCACATTGACAAGATAGAAATTTTGATGTGTATTGTAAAGAAATGATTGAACTTTGTGAGAGTTTGTTGGCTGTAACGTAATAATTTTTAGAAATTTTCTATAAAAAAAAAAGTATCTCCTTTTACCATTTCAATGTTTCTTTTGTATCGACTAGTTTGAGTGGTTGTAAAAGTCTTAGCTGGGTCATAATGGAACGAAGAAATATCTAGTGTTTTGAAGGAAATAATTTATTAATTTTGCACCCTTAAAATACTGAAGTCTTACCTGTTAAATTGTAATTATGATTGTTTTTTGCTGGTGTTGAGAATTTGAAGATAAGATGATTTATTACCAGAACCAAAATGGTCACAGCTAGCAAAACGATAGGCAGGAATACCAAAAGTTTAAGCTTTGATCTCCACGATTTTTCGTTTCCGATGCACCACCTCAACATAACAAAAAAAAAATCAAGAAATTAATTAAATCCTATTGAACATTCAAACGTAGCACAGCGCGCTTACAGATGTAGATATGTAACGTCAAATTAATTAGCAAGCAGATTTTTCTACTCGTATTATGTAAATATTTGCACGTACCTCACTCTTCCGGAATCGTGTACAGCCAGTCTACAAGAATAACATCTTGTTTTAGATTCCATTTGATGGTTTAGTTGATCATCAACCTGGCTAAACAAAATCTGTAGGAACCCCTAATGAATTTGACCTTAATTCATTAAATAAAATGGGTCATTTTGATTTGAGGAATCTATACTTACGATTTATAATGCGTTATGCGTTTAACGGCGTGTTTTTTTACGTAAAAAAGTACAGAAATATGCAAGAAACTTGTATACGTTACAACTGTCAAATTGACAATGAATGTAATTTTATTTTAATTTGTTGTCGTATTTTTTCTTCGTAACAATCCTGATATTTAAGTGATGCGAGGCGGGAACGCTTGCCTGACCTATTGCTACTTATATTCAATTAAGTAACGTTACAGTTACAATGGTCGGATTTATGGTACCTATTCAAAGGGAAAATTTTACCATTTACGTATCATGGAAGTAATTAACTTCAATTAACTGTTAAACTACATAAATTAAATACAACATTACCTTATTATCTATATTTTATTAGGTACACACATGTACTTGTTTAAAGTTAAAAATGCGTGAGCGTCTCTAGCGAATCAAACAATTAACAGTAATCATTTACTATTATCTAATGTAGACACTATTGTTCAGTTATTTTTAATGTCAGGTTTAAACCAAGGGGCCATTTTAATAGCGTTGTTTTTATAAAGTGATATTTTATTATTGTGTGTGTGCGTGTGTGTGTGTGTTTTTTTTTATTATAATTTCAGTCAAAAACTTCTCTTAAAATCATTATTTGTTTTTGTTTCTTCGAACTACAAATAGCATCTGCCCTTCGCAGCAAATAATGTATTAAGGTGTTGTCGGAATTGGTATAATTATAGGACATAAGTATCACAACTTTGCCGTCCGAAAACTGCTGAATCACAAATGTGCTTAGACTGTTACTGTTTCCTCTATACCACTTAAGCCACAAAAAATACATTCCTTGCCGTCGTACACTCTACAAGCAAAAAACTAAAGCATTTGTAAAACTGCAATTGAGATATTCTTTGCTGAAGTAATTTATCTTAAATTTGGTTTATTTTTTAGCAATACGAGGGTGGATTGATAAGTTTCCGGCCTGACCAAGAAAAACAAGGTTTTTAAAAATTTTTTTTTTTTATTTCTCAACATAATCTCCTCCAAGGCTGATACATTTCTCATAGCAGTGTTCCAGTCTATTAATGCCATCTCTATAGACTGATTCGTCAAGCTCCTCAAAATAACCATTTACAGCTTCGATTACTTCTTCATTGTCCGCAAATCTCTTACCGCCAAGCCATTTTTTGAGATTAGGGAACAGAAAATAGTCACTCGGGGCTAGGTCTGGAGAGTAAGGAGGGTGCGGCATCAATTCAAACTTTAGATCGTTGATTTTAGCCGTCGCAACGATTGACGTGTGCGCTGGTGCGTTATCGTGATGAAACAAGATTTTTTTCTTCGCCAGATGAGGTCGTTTAATTTTCACCTCGTGGCTCAAACGTTGCAATAAGTCTGCGTAGTATTGACCAGTGATAGTATTACCCTTTGCAAGGTAATCAATGTATATAATACCTCTTGCATCCCAAAAAACAGTAGCCATAACCTTGTTCGCCGAAAAAATTGTTTTTGCCTTCTTTGGAGTTGGTTCCCCTGGTCCAATCCACTGTTTAGACTTTCTGTTCTTTGGTTTCAGGAGTGTAGTGGTGGACCCACGTTTCGTCAACGGTTACGAATCGACGCAAAAATTCGCTTGGATTACGCTTATACAATGACAAATTTGCGGTAGAAATGTTTTTTCGAATCAATTTTTGGTCGACTGTTAGCAAACGCGGCACCCATCTTGCACAGAGCTTTTCCATATGCAAATGTTGGTGCAAAATATGTTGCACACGTTCATATGACATCTTACAGGTCTCAGCTATCTCACGCACTTTCAATCTGCGGTCTCCCAGCACTATTTGATGAATTTTTTCGATCATATCTGGAGTTGTGACCTCAACGGGGCGTCCTGAGCGAGGCCCATCAGAGGTGCTCACACGACCCTTTTTAAACTCGGAAACCCACTGCTTAACGGTTGAATATGACGGGGAGGATGTCCCCAGTGTTGAGTCCATCTCTTTTTTAATTTCCTTCGGCGTTAACCCCTTCAAATAAAAGTATTTGATGACAGCACGATTTTCCTGCTTTTCCATTTTTACGAAAACCACAGAGGCGTCTTGTTCAGCGTGCTGTCAAACCTACACTAGCAAGGAGATCGGGCTGAAACTATAGCTACAAGCTATCCAAGGATGGTACTATAGAATGTCACCTCAAGGTAGGCCTAGTGGCGTCATCTCTTGGTTAGGCCGGAAACTTATCAATCCACCCTCGTAAATGTATCAACTTCCCCGCATATAATTTACAATAATCCGACGTAAATATTACAGTTACCATTTCCTCTTAATGTGATTTTAGCGACACAAAATTGTTACTATTTTTCGGAGTTGACTATCTGTTAGTAATATTAGATAATAGACGATAGCGGTAAGGTTAATAAATAATAGTCACATCCTAAGAGGAAGCCAAAGTAAGTGATCAGAAGCGGCTTCTAGATTACAATGACTCTTCGACAGGGCACTTAGAAGAAGCTCTAGTTTATTAAAAGCATCAAAACTTTAAAGCAATACATGTCAGCTTTCGATATAGGGCTATTAATTACGGTTCCGATGACTTTCAGTTTTGTCACACTGTTTTTATTAGCTTTAAAAGGATATAATGCGCAGGGCGTACTATTTTTTTTTTTATTGGATTACTTAACAAAAAGGCATAGATATAAGTCTTACGTGAGTCTTGAATCGCAGCAAGAGTTTAATGTATTAATTAAACAAAATGTTTGTTCAGTTATTTAATATTGCATGATATATATGTAAGTCGTATTTGGTAATAATAATAATTGTTGTATTGTTAGACTTCAGACACTAAATTTTTACAAAATACAAGAGAAAGCTAGCTCCCTTTTGAATTAAATTCAACTCGGTGAATTCAAAGACGATATTTATTCAAATGCTTCTCTGAAATGTTTTGGAATTCTCTTGGCAAAAATAAGATATTTCGCTGGTCTCTGTATTTTACAAAACTGACAAACGCCAGTAAATATACATAAACGCCCTAGGATAATTTTATGCGGCAGCTTTCAACTGGCAATTTGAAGCACCAGTGTTGAACTTTGGTCGATAGCAGACAAGGGAAGCCTTCCCCAAGCTTTGTCCAAACCGAAATCTTCGAAAAAAAAAAACCTTCCGGAAAAATCTTATTCTACAACAATTCTGTCATACGAAAAATTTGAAAATTGTCATGCCTTTTTTTAAATGTCTCGCATAAATATTTGTAAATTGTTTATATGTATATAATTAGTCTAATACTATATATAAACAATGATTTGAAAATAGTCAGAATTTCTTTTTTATTAATTTTCAAACTGTAGTACCAGGATTTTCGTTATTGAAAATTTATAACAAAGTAATGCATTCTATTTTTACTTTTATTTGAAGCCGGGCCTGTTTTCCTGGACTGATGCAGATCCAGTAACCAAATACATCAACAAAGCTCGCGGAAAATATTCGACATATTATGTATGTATATGTAATACGTATCATTCTTTAGTAGGTACATATTTATGTGGAATGCAAAATGTACATTTCAAATGTAAAATTCTAATAGATACGATTTTAGTCGTTGCGTAATATTATACTAGTATTGTTAAATTCTCCTTGCGATGTCTTTCTAATGGACGAGATTGTTTACAATACAACTCGCCTTATCGCAAAATCGTAGTAAAAAAGCTCACAAAAAACGTCTGCCGTTGAACAATATTGAAGTTATTTTCTTTTAAATTTCTGGCGTGTAACGTGAATTTTATACATTCAGTACGTGTTTAAGTCTGTAACGATACCATCGTTTGAAGACATTTTCGTGTAATTGTGTGCGGTGTTAATTAATAGAAATACATAAAACATTTGTTTCTCGTTTCCAAGTGTACCTACGATACCACAGATCGTTACCGGTGAGTTTTTTTAACTATAGATGAGTAAGGGGCTTATTTAAAACATGTAGAATAAGATTTGATGGTGAAAGGGTCACAATGTGCCGTTTTATTTTTACATTTGAGGTTTCCGCATTAGGTAGGTGTTTTAACTTTTGACATAAACTGTTGAAAGTCGGCCTATGTGGCCTTTTATTTAAACGGTAACTCGATTATTCAGATGAGGACTGCGGTGGAAACGGAAAATAATAAAGTCCTCACACCAAAGATGAGAAGTTAGAACGATGTATCCAAGTTTAACACTATTAGATACAACGGGTAAAAACCAGTGGATTCGATTGCAGGGGAACATAAAAATAAAATTTATTATTTACCACGTTACGTAATATTATAGAAGCGTTGGTTAATTTCATCGTTGAAATTGACGTTTTAATGGTCATTTAAATCCAGAAAGTTATACATACCTACCTATTATCAGAGAAGATAGATCTCTATGATTTGGTTGCAACACAAAAACGCTTTTTTCGTTAATTAATTAATATCTTTTAAACCGCTTAGTAAAGTCAGATAAAATTTTGTAAAATCCCAGTCATTGTAAATTTAAATCGATGTTTAGGATCTGGCTGGGTACCGAATAATGACGCCGGGTACTTGGCAGTGCCGGGTTATTCTGGCAGACACCAGCAATAATAGTTTAATAAAATGTAGATTTTACCTCTTTACTTTGCTCGCTTTGATGTCCTAAATAGATGTCAAAAGTCATCGTCGACTACATAAAACTCTATCAGTATTTTTCTTTTGTTTCTCCTTTTCTGTACCCTTAGAAATGTGTGTTCAAAATTTCATGATGTTCGGTTGTGTAGTTAATTAATGTTACAATTTCTGTCGCCTGTAGGCATATTAGGTTTTGATTAACGATAACTTATTAGTATGGTTTTGCAAACTTTTAGTTTTTGTAAATATGATAGGTTCATTTCAACGGTTTCAACTTAATCCCTTCGTAGAAAATCCAGTAACCTAGAATTAAAATTTGATTGGTTTTTGAAAGGGACTTTGGTTTGGGACGTTGGGGAGTGTGTTATTTAACGAAAGGCCCAGGAAGACGAGCCGTTATTAACTGTAGTGGTTGGTTTTGCTGGGTACCTCACCGCGTACCGGGTACTCAGTTATCTGGTACTCGCTAATTACTAAATTAATGCACCGGGTATTAATTTTTGTAAATGTTATAGGCTCATTTCAACGGTTTCAACTTAACCCCTTCGTAGAAAATCCAGTA